CAGCTTGTTGTTGTTGGTTTTGCCTCTGTCTTGCGGCTGTCATGGCGTCCACTAATGATCTATGCGGGCGCCCAGTTGCTGGCAGACTGGCAGCCAAAAGGCACCTGCGAAAATAAACTACGCAAGTTCCTCGAACTATAAATAAAGCGGATTAATGTAAATGCCCTGCAGGGAATGAGGAATTATTGCCAGCCAGCCAGTCAGCCAGCCAATTGAGAAAGTTCTTTGCAGTGCAGTATAAAATTAGCCAGACGCACTCGCACACACACACACACACACACGCACTGGGATGTAGAATTTGCATCTGTGCATTCCTTGCCCTTTCACACAGGAAACGCTCGACGGCAACAACAACAACAACAAAGACATCTGAAAGCGAAAGTCTGCTGTTAATTGCCTTGAGAGAGGCGGGGAATGAAAGCAATGATTACTTTAAGAAACATTGTCACTGGTTTTCTGTTATTATATCATTTTACGCTCAATAAGTCGGTTCATAATTGTTGCAGCGCGTTGGAGGCGACGCTAACTGTGGCCACAACCCGAAAATGTTGGCCAGGAAACAGGTTACAAGAGACAATAACACCCAACAACTAACTGATCGTTGATAAAAAGTTGACTTACATTCCATCAGCAATTTGATTGCGTTGCTGTTGTTGTTTTTATTGTTTGTTGTTAGTTCGTCATTTCTGGCTAATGCTTTACAACTTAGCCAACTTCTTGTGCAGCTGACTGTGAAATTCACTTTTAAATTTGCTGGTTTTTATTGCCACTTTTTTTGTTGTTGTTCGTCTTCTTCTGCTTAAAGACGAGCGTAAACAAAATAAACAAACAATTTAAACATGATTTTCATTTTATTTTTGCCCCACCATTCGAAACGCAACAATAATTTTTCAACAATGGCGCAGACAGTTGAGTTCTGAAAGCAGATTGCTGACGCTGGTGCAGAATAAGTCATATATAATTATGTACTATGTAGCAATTGGCTTAAATTTGATGAAAACTTTAGTCTATATAAGTATATCGAGTGTAGCAAGCATATAAAAGTCGAGTATTTAGGGAAGAAGTTCTTTTGCCAAGGAAATATAAACAAATGAAAATAATAGTTTTAAATTCACAACTAAGGTAATGTAATATCTTAAGCTGAGGTCATGGCAACCAAGGCTATTTATAATAACGTAGACTTGTATTTAAGAACTTTACAAGTAATAAATATAAGCCATGACATCACATCGTTAATAACCCAAGTTAGTTAAAAGTACTTAATACACTGAGTCATCATGGCTCTAAAAAATAATAATTTACAACATGACGGTATTTAGTTATTTATTGTTTCTTTTTGCAAGATAATTTAACATGTTTTTTTTTATTTTTATGTTTAAAATGTATTTATTTATTTCGCTGGTATTCCGTAATTTTCAGAAAGAGATTATCACTGACAACTTGACGTGACAACTTGACAAATATTTTATCATTTCGATTTGTGCAATATAATTTATCAGGTTCTTGTAATATTTTTAAAATTATTCCATATACTTATGTGCTAATATTGATTATAATTGTTTGTTGCTTACCCCTTTAGCAACCTACGACACTGGTTTTCTGGCTTATATTTGCTTTGTTCTTTCCGTTTGTTTTTTGTATATACGTAACAGTATTTTAGTTTTAAGTGCAGCACCGTGTAAACAATAAGCCGACAACCTGCTGCGATTTTCAATGGTTATTTAACGTATAGTTATTTCTTTAAATGTTATTTATTGAATTGCCAGATTTGCTATCAATGCCTATTTTTATTATTGCCACATTAACTATGATTTCGTATTGTATTTCTAGCTAAATGTCAGCAATGCCGCCGATTCTAAGGTTGGCCTTTGAGCATTTCAGTTTTTGTAGTTTGAAGTTTACAGCCTTGTTGCAATATACTTTTTGGGTGGCTTTTGAGAATCGAGCTGTGAAGGTTGATCGTTGGCTAATTGTAAACTAAGTAGACAATAGCCAACCGCTCTTAACGGCTCCACTTGCCACGCAGACAGACGCGGACACGGCTCCGTGACTTATTATGTGCGAGTCACTGAAGCTAAGTTCCGTTGGGGGATATATAAACATATATATATCGAAATAAACTTCATGGCGCAATGGGCTTATAAAGTATATACATATATATATATGTTATATGCTTATAATATGCAAATTGTGTGTTGCTTTGGACAATTGTTGCAACGAGGTGTGTCATAAGCACTTAAATAAATATATTCATATATAGATAGTATATATAAGCAATTATTTGTATAGCTATATTTATATAGTTACCACTTTTGTGATGGCGCAGAAAGATGAAAGTCTGCACGTAAAACTCACATAAAAAATTAATAAAAATTGATTGCAATTTTTGAATTGGGGCTGCGGCTGCTGACAAATGCATTGAAATCGCCAAACGGCCGAATGACATGCAAAAAGTGGGCACAATGCAACAGTCTCGTAGGGGTGAAGCTGGAGCAGGAGCAAGAGGAGGGGAGGGGCGTGGGAGGGGGTGGGGCATCTAAGTGTGGCTCAGTCGAATAAATAAACAAATAAACATTCGCTGCGCTTGCCGCAATCAAAATAAAGTCAAAAGCATTGAATCAGGAGCACTGTGTGCATTGTGACAGCCATTAACTCCCAAGTGAAAGTTTTGCTATATATGTGCCCTCACTCCACCACTTCCACCTACCCCATTCCCATTCGAATGCAGCTCCAGCTTTATCCACAGCTCTCCAGCCCGTGGCTTTGGTTTTTGGCTTTGGCTTGCGTTGACAGTTGCCCACAAATTGCAAAAATTAGCGCTCACATGCGAAGCGCAGTCGATGGCAGCGATGCCTTCATAATCTTTGCAATCTGGCTCCAACCCCTTTCCTCGTTTCTGCTACTCCTACACATGGAGAAAAAATCAAATCAAATCAAGCCATATCTGGAAACAAGTAAAATACTTTTATTGATATTAAGTCTCGCTTTTGATTTCCGCTGAGGTCATTTTTTTTTTAAGGCAATTTGCTTTTTTGTTACTTTAAATTCTTTTTGTTTATTCAAGTATTTTCTTTACACAAAAAAATGTTAAAGTTCGTTTTATATTTACTTCTATAACTTTTCGTTTTCTGTAATTGCGGCTTAATGAAGCTGAAGTGCTCGACTTTGGTAGCATTAAGCTTCTGTAGACTATCAAGATTGCAATTGTGTGTATTCTGATGAACTTAATATGTTTTTCTCACTGTGCACCCCTACAACTAAGCCTTCCCTCAAGCGCAGCGATTGTTCGTTTCGATCGCTGATGGTGCGCTTGCGCCTGCGCTCTTCTGGGGCGCATTTGTGCAGTTAGAAAATGGCAAATGCCAAATGGGGGCAGGCAACAACTGCGATAACAGACAACAACTTACATGATGATGGGGGCTTACATGCCCCATGCACAATTCAATGGATTAACATACCCACAATACCACACTTAATTTGCCCAGGGCCAAACGTAAAGCAAGGCAAACGAATATTTACCGCTGCCCCAAAGCCATGCCACACGGTGCAACATTAGATAAATCACAGAGTGACAAATATGCTGAGATATTAGATATTTAAGCCATAACTTGAACTGGACTCTTTCTCTTTTTTTCTATCGCAACATTTAATTGTGCACTTTTCTGCAGTCGATTCGATTATAGCTGAAAATATTGATCAAGCAAACCCTTCAGAAATTTCTTTATTCTATATATAAAATTAATTTATCATTAAAATAAATTTGATCATTGTAAAAGATTAACTAAGCCTTTGAAGTGCTTTTTTTTTGTAATATTAATAGAACGGATTATTGTGTTTTAATTTCGTTCATAATTTAATCCGCCGTGATCACTTTCTGTGTCATCTGTGAGTCTTGTAAAATGAACAGCATCTTAAAAATGTTAATCATTTAATCATTAGATAAACTGTTTGACAAAAGTGATGCAGTTGTTAAACTTTAGTTTCATTTGATCGTTTTTCACAATTTTTAATGTTGTATGATTTTATTGCCGTATAAACATTAAAGTTCTCTGCTTTCATACCTTAACTCATCCTTATTGCCTTGACACATCTGACTTATTGAGACAGATAAATACATAAATATTTACCATAAACATATTTATTTCATTTAAATATATAAATTACTGTATTTGTTGCAGTCCCTAAAACTGCATAGAGAAAACATTACCTCAATTTTTGGGGCGGCTGCTGCTGCTGTGGCAGCTTTTGTTTGTTTGGCTTATCAATCAGTGCGGAATCAGCCACAAAAATGTTGCGTAATTTTGCATTGCAGACAAAAAACACACAAAAACAAAAACCAAACAATAAACTTGTACACACCGTTTATTTATGGCCGTGTAGCAGTTTTTGGCCACCGTTTTGGCCCGGCAACTTTTATGTTGTAGTTGCTGTGCTTGTTGTTATTGCTGTTGGGGCAGCTGCGTGTGTGCAATTGAAACTCGTTGGAGATGCTTGCATCGGTTGAATGTGTGTCTTAGTGCCACTAGGAAACTGATTTCAAAGCTGTTCGCGCGTAGAAATGGTCATGTGTTAATTCATTAGCACATATTAAAAAGGGCGATATTCGATAGTATAATATACAATTATGGCAATTTTAACGATTAGCAAATTTGCGTAGCCAATCTGACATTTATATTAAAGAAACAAAGCTCAAATTCAAATTCCTTTTAAAAAATGGCAAACTCCTTGAATGACATAATTACATAATATTTACCTAAAATATTGTTTAATTTAAACATATAAAGTACTCATTTTAAATACAACCCAAGCACTATAAATTTAAGGTTAGAATTTTTGGTTTAAATAATGGAAATATATTTTTCAGTTCTTTTTATTTGATAATTTATGTCGCATTTTAAAAGAATATAGAATTTTTTTTTTTAAGTGAAAGAAAAGTAAGTTAGTAGGTCTGCTAAACGTGGCACTCTCTGTCTGTTCTTCGACCGGTGTAACAAACCAGCAAAAGAAATTCTCTCTTACTCTCTTTTTAAGCTTATGTGTACTTCATACATGGACTATTGATCTGCTTGATAGATGGAGGAAAACATATTTCTACCGGTCACATTTGTATTAAACAATACCTAAATAGGTAGTTTTCGACAATAAGATTCTAGCTCGAACCGTATTTCCTTCCTTTGCCATAGCTAAAAATAAATCCATTAGTTATACCTTTGAATAGTTTACCTTTATTGAGATATATATTACGATTTATTGCGACTGAGCGGCGCCTCACAAAGGGCAACCAGCTCTGGAACTGTTAACTCGTCGCCTTGCATTTTGCATATCAATAAGAATGAAGAGAATTGTTTGCAAAAGATTTTCGATTCGCTTTGATTTGCAGAACATGCCAACACGTCGTCGTCGGTTGGCACCCATATTGGCCATATAGGCGAGCTTATGAGCCCCGTTAGATGAACAGTCTATAGGAGGATGTACATTGTAAATTGTACAAATATCGTTGACATTTTATCGTCTTGTACGTGCCGCACTGTTGTACACCAAAAGGAGTGGAGTCAATTTGATTGGATTCGTATTGGTTTTGGTTTGCATGGCGAATGAATGAAGTGAAATGCGAAACGGTTAACGAGCAATAAATAAGCAACGTGTCTAAATATTTCATGCGGAGCAGGAGGGGCGATGGCCTGTCCGCTGTGGGCGCCATGCGGAGCGAATGCAAGTGCAAAAAAAAAAAAAAAAGCGAAAAAAAATTCCAAAGTTGGCAGTGTTCTGGGTACGTCAAAATGTCACCAATTGTCTGGCAGGCTACATAAAGATTATACGTGGTATCTTGGAATCTGCGTGAATGTATCTTAGTATCTGTGCAGTTGGCGCTAAAGTTGAAAGGCGGGACTGCATTGTCGACAGCTTGGCCAAATGCAAATGCCAAAAAAACATTGTCGTTGTCGCTACAAGTTGGCTAAATTAAGTTACAACAACAACAACAACAACAACAATACTAGAGTGTTACAATGCATGCTGTAAAGTTTTGTTTTTGGCCCGAGCTTATCTCTGGGGAGGTGCTTCCGCATTTGCGGCGCATTCTCATTCTCATTCTCAGCGGCGGTCACCAAAGTTCAACGCACAAATGTTTGAAGTGCTGCCGATGCCCCAAAGGCAACAACCCAGCCTCCTCTTCCTTCAGCTAAAGATAGATGCTACACTCGCCAAAAGATTGTGTCACTGAAATTTATTTGAAATCCCCAAATGGCAGCTCAACTTAGTTTTCAGCAATCGAGCTAGGACTGAGACTATTTTTATTATTACTTTTTATTGTGCATTTCAGAAATGTCTAATCTAGAAATAAATAATATAGCTTTAAGTTATATACTAGCTTATATATATTTCTCTGAGTGCAGCTGCTGGCGGGCGACACATGCATAATGCATGCAACAACAGCAACAACAACAAAAGCAACTTTGGTGCCTAGTTTATGGCCGTTGCATCCATGAGATACACGAACTTTAAGGGCTTCTGTCGCGTCATCGCCTTTTATCACACACTACAACTAATGTGCATAACAAAATATAATACTTGACGTTTGTTTTTACTGTTATATTGTTGCTGTTGTTATTTTTAACAACGTGCTTAAGCCTTTTAGGCCTAATTAAATATTCAACAAAATTGTTTTTTTTTTTTTGCAATCCTATCGATTGTATTTTACGATCCACTCTCCGGGAAAGGTAGTTGTTTGCTGGTGCGTCTAATGTCGTCAATTGTTGGTTGGGCTTAATTACACTCTCTTGAACTGCGTCACTGATTGCAGTCAGCCTCGTGCCACCTGCCACATGATATCTGCCTATATACCTATGGCTTGCATAAAAAGCGAAGAAAAAAGTACGTTAAGAACAGACGCGTTAAAAACTCATTACTGCGATATTTGTGGCACAAGCGTTGTGTCTGAGCCCCATGACTTGCCATTTACATCCCTGAAGTTCATGACGCTTACTTATATATATATATATATATAGATATGTATATATATATATATATATACTTATAAGTTTGTACATATATAAATAAGCATGACACATGCGTTGACAATAGCTTAAAAGGCCTCCTTGAACGCTAAATCATTTGCAGCAATTTCCGACTTTTAAAAGTCTTGTCTTTGATTTTATGACTTGAATAGTTTTTAGTGCTCGTGTAATGTCTATTCTTAAAATGCTTTTCTTATTTGGGTATAGCTTCTCTGCTTAAGTGTGTACTCTAATTTCATAGTAAGCGTATTTCGTTTTTTTGTTAGTTTGAATTTAAAATATGAAAAATTCCCATCTTAGTCACGTAGATTTTAGTGTGTCAAACTGCAGAAGGTCAGAGCATTAAATCTTTTTTATATGAAGCCACAAAATGCACTTTGTATTTAAAAATTATAAAAAACACTATGGCAAACTGCAATAAATTATGATGTTATATGTTTATTAGATGAGACATTTCATTTAAATAATGTATATAGACGATACAAAATGTGCAATAAATATTAATGCCCCAACATTTCAAGTATTTTTCTATGAGCATTTGAATAAACTAATCTGCAAATGGTAATAAAAAGATAGAAACCAAATAGCTGTTCCTTTCACAGTCTCTGGGTTTAACGAGGCTCAGACAGGCAGATAGAAACGAACATTTGTGTCTAGATTTGTACTGAGCACTGGAGAAACTTTCCTCAGTTTATTACTCCAATGCCTTAATGGTTTTTTCTTTTCTTAAATGGGCTCTAAAATAAACAAATTTTGCATTGACCAAAACAAATGAACTACAATCAATTTTTATATTTTTTTTCACAATAGATTTTTTTAAAATATATATCTTTCACTATTTGAGCAATAAATAAATAAATTACGATTTTTATGTATGAAATATTTTCTGGAAATTATATTTTATTTGAATATCCCAGTTTTTCTAATCGTGGCAAACTCTGTTGGTCAACACCAACTTATATCTTGAATCTTATAGTGTGTTGCATGAGCACGTCGTCATTTTTGTTCAATGTCAGTAAAATTTAGCTAATTAAGTTAAATTTAAAGCAAGCGAGTTGAGTGTTGTAGTTTTTTTTTTTTTTTTTTTGGTTGTTGTTAATTACAAAATGATGTATGGCTGACATTGGGAGTGAGTGGCTTGTGAGTAGTTTATGAGTCTTTGGTCATAGTTTCCATTATGCAAGATGCAAATAGCGACTATTACGCATACGCCGCGTGGACACAAAGTTCAGGTTGAAAGTTGGTTTAGCATAACAAACCTTTGTACAATGCAGCAATGCAGCTAAGCCTCGTCGTTGTTGCCTTCTTGTGCCGCTTCTTCAGTTTGTTGTTCTTATTGCGGTTGCGATTTTGTAATAACTCATATAACGGTACGAAGCCGCAAAACTTTTGCTGCAAAGACAGCCGCCGCCTTATTGTTTGTCTTCCGCAAACAGATTTAACACTCGAACATTGTGCAAAATTCTATTAGTTCTCGCTGTTGAGGCGAGCCGTTGTCTGCAACTTTTCCAATATATATTTCAATTCGCTTTCCGCTGCATCTGCGTGTTTGCCAATGGATTTGCTGTGGGCTGCCAAGTAATGCGGAAATACATATATGTCGACTGCATACATATATATATATATATATATATATGTATACGTATACGTATTGGGTGGGCGTGTAAACTGTGCCAGCAACCTGCAAAGGTATTGCAGATATGGCTAGCTAATTCAAAACTTGCTGCACTTGTCGCCTCAGGTCTTAATTCCAATTAATCACTAATTAGCATACATGAGAGTTCCAAATGAGTCTGTCAAATAGAGTGTGGGTGTGGGTGTGGGTGTTGGTCTGGGTGTGTGCGTGACAGTTGAAATTGTGCTAATTGCATAATGCAGAGTTAATGCGCAAATTAGGTGGACATCAAAGCCGGCTTTGTTGGTAGATGCATTTTAGCCCAGTCACAAATTACAAACTATATTTATATCGTAAACTTTTTAATTATTTATCTATTTAGGTATAACTGAGAATAGTTTGTAGATGAGCTAATTAAAGTCGTACGATATTAAATAATATTCTCCTTCTCATCAACTTTTTCGAGTTAGTTAAATTTGTTTAAGTTCGCAAAAAAAATGTATTTAAATAAATTTCAGTTGATTTGGTTTTCATGATATTTTTCCTTACTCTACACAAATCGAAAGCGGATTCAATATGTGCCCTAAGGTGTTTCCTGTGCATTCTAAACGTTGCTCAGGTCAAGAATGCTTAAAAATATTTGCAAACTTTCTCCTGGGGTGGCTTGGTGTGTAGTTTTGGGCGCTGCCTTGAAAGTGCCTTAAATACGTCAGGATTACAAGCAATGTGACAGGCCAAAAGCGTTTGGCATGTTTGGCAGCTGCAGCAGTTTTCAAGCAGCAGCAACAGCAGCTTCATGGATATCAGATTGCTAGAGCTGCGGCCACAGACAACGCTAGATCCGCTGATCCCCAGATCTTGCCCGGCTGGTTGACGTCTAACGTATTAGCAGCTCAGTTAGAGTGGGAGTTGTTTGTGGTTGGTGTTTGGGGCTCGGACTGGGAATCGGATGAGGAGGGCGGGGCGGGGAGGCGTTGAGGCGCATTGTCGGCTCTGAGCGGATTTGCTTAAAGCCGCGATGGTGGCAGTGATGCAGAAAGTTGTGCTGCTTTTCTTTTTATTTATATACATATAAATGTTTTTTTTTTTTATTTATTTACATTTTTTTTTTTTTGTATTTTGCGCGAGAGCGCGCGAGATATTATGCGGCGATATTAATTGACAAATGAGATTTTTCCTTCCTAGTCGACAGCGACAGGGGAACTTTCATTTTGACCACAAGCGTCTTGTTGTCAGCCCGGCTCAAACTCCAACTCCAACTCCAACTCCAGCACCAAGTCAAGCTCGCTCAAACTCAAGCCCACAAATGCAGGCCAAGGCAAAATATGCATATGTACGTAGACGGGCTTAGATGGATGATGACTGGAGCCGTGTCTCCAGCCAAACAGCGGCTGCTGTTTGGGTTAACGCCAACTAACTGTTTCGAGCTATCAAACGTGCCGCGAACTCTTGTCAAGAGTTACTTAATGCCATAAATGCGGTTTGCTGAACGCACAGCGACAGACGCTTTGTATATACGCATATGTATGTGGCTGGGGCAGTCAAGCTAGGTTAAGATACACCCTCTCTCTCGCTCTCTCTTTCTCTCTCTATCTCTCTGTCTCTCTTTCGTCTCAACCCACAACACAGCATGTCTTCTTGACGGGCCGCTGAACTGTTAAATGTCAGGCCATGATAGCAGGCAGCAGATTGATGAACGCTGTCATGGCATAAATACGTACTATTTCCAATGGTGAAATGGAAACCGAAAAAAGAATGGAAAATGCACAAAATTATTGCATATGCATGTGGAGATACTCTGAGTTTTTACTACCAATTTAGCATATTTTGCACTAATTGGACCAGTAACAAAAAAATATACAAATAATCACTGTGATAGTTTGCAATGCATAAAAATATAATAAAAACGTTTATGTTTCTGCTATGGTTATCAGCGATTATATGCATGCTGTGAATTTTTAATTTAAAAAAATCAAGTTTTAACTACGCCTTTTAGCAGTAGTTACAATTTTACAATTTATGACATGAACAGTTGATGACAGCAAGGCCAACCAATAAAGCCTACTACTTCAAAGAAAAAAAATTAATAAAAATTAAGAGATATGGATATATTGCTTGCAAATCAAGTCAAAGATACTTATAAATGAATCGAATATAAATTGCAAAGAAATGGCTGGTCATTATAAAGCGAGCTACTCTTTGAGAGTGTTACAAAATCCAATTAAGGGCCATTATGAAAACGATGACGAATCCAAACTGGTAATAATGTCTAAATAGTGTTAAGTAAGCGTAGATAATTGAGAATGCAAAATCAGAATTAAAGAGAATAAAATATAAAAAATATATATAAAAATAGATATACAACATTGTTTAAAATATCAATATTATATTTTCTCTTCTTTTTTTAAGTAGACAATATGTATTTCTGCTAATGGCGACAAACTCTGCTAAAAAATTGTGGTTCTTTGTTCACTATTCTCAACTCTCAGCCTGCGATGAGATTCTACGTCTTTTAAAGCCAAACGTCAAACCTTTCTATGGGGTTTGTGGGTGTGTCCCGATAGGCAGCCGCCATCGGTTTCAGTTGCTGTGTGTGGCGCTGTCAATCAATGCCAATGCAAAAGCGCTGCAACAACAACAGTCACTCAGTCAGTCAGCCAGTCAGCCAGTTGTTCAGTTTGTCAGCTAGGTTTACGTATATATATATATATCTACATGTATATAGTTTACCTTGGCTTTTTGAAAGTTGCAACGAATGGTTTTTGGCGTGTTGGTGGCCCACGTCAAGAACTTGTACATGTTGCATATTAATAAGTTGTGGCGTTATGTCTGTGGCAAGTTTGACTAATTTCCGTTTTATGTTTTCTCTCTCTTATTTATATATATTTGCAGTACGGACTGCGTCAATTGGATCTCTCTCTGCTGTCACAATTGTGGGCGCTAAACGACTCCATACAGGAGTTTCGCACGATGATCGAGGAGCAGGACGACGAAGAGGATGATGATGGCGATGTTGATGTCGATGTCGAGCTGGATGAGCAGGGCAATCGTAGGCATTCGCCGACACCATCATCCTATGATTCTGTTAGCTCTGAAGGCGGCGTCGAGGATGCGGATCTTGTAATGCAGGCCAAGGCGAAGCGTCTGGGCACCATACCAAAGGTCATAACGACGCAGCCAAAGCATCAGCAGCAGCAGCAGCTAAAATCTGATGTAAAGCCAGTGCCGAGGATGCGCAGTGCACCACCCCCACCACCGCCGGTGGCATTGGTGTGCACCGCTCGGAAGGCGGCGGCTCCGCCACGACCCACATGATGTTACCTAACCGACTTCCTCGCCGGAGTCAGGATGGTCATGTGCAAGGCGATTGTGAGCGAAGTGCCGCCGCCGCCGCCCCCGACGACGCCGACTCCAACGTCGAAGTCGACGACGTCAACATTGGGCAGCATTTGAACAGGAGCTGAAGTTGGAGCTGAAGTTGTAGTTGGAGCTGGAGCTGGAGCTGGACCTGGGAGCTGGAGCAGCACTTGGCGAGTTGAAAGTCAGATCACGAATGGTTTTTAATTGTGGCATGCACCATCCCTAGTTAGTTTACAATAAACGATAAACGATATGCGATAAACGTGGGATACTCTATATCTATCAATTAACTATATATACATATGCATATGTGAGCGATTAGAGCGCTACTTACTTAGCTTGTAAGCCGCAAATAGCCTTTAAGTTTAGCAGTCCTTTGTGTGATCTTCAGTTTGTAAGTTTATTGTAAATTGTTTTTTTTTCTTCTGCTTTCTTCTACTTCTTCTTCTGCGTTGGCCTCCAATTTGGGGACTACGTTTTGGGGTTATTTTATTCAAAGGCATGGTGGGTTCAGCTATATAACATACATTTTACCTACACATAAAACATATATTTCTTCCTGTCCTTATCATATACAAAAAAAATATATTTTATGATTTACGATTAAACTAACTTAATCCACCATTTTTAAACTATAGTCTTTCAGATTGTAACTGTAATTGCTAAATTAAAATCTAAAATGTTGCTGTAGACATAAGTTAGGAATCTGCACTTACTTGTATATACTATTTAGAAGCCTGTCACTAATAAAACAATCTGCACTATAATTCTCACCTTGGCTTGCAACTTCAAATAATATTATATCTAACGAGAAGCGAAAATAAACAATCTAAAAGCGAAATGAAAAATATTGCAAATGCATTTATTCAATTTTGAAAGCCGGAGCGACACTCTATATTTAGACAATACTTATGCTATTCGAGAGCAACTTGAAGCATGGAAAATCAAAGGCAAGCAATTGATTCTCTGAATAGATGCTGTGGAAACTCGGACACATTCGGTTGGCCGACTCCAACTGCATTTCGCTATTCTTGATGCACATAGCCATGGGTGTTGTCTTCGAAATAACGGGTAAGCAGAAAGTACGCGAGGATTGTCTATTCAGCGTAAAAGTGAGAATGGTCTTGTTATTTATTGCCAATTCCACATCCACCGAGGGTCTAATTTCACTTAAATCATACACCGTGCAAACTGTAAAAAAGACACATATTCAGTTGAGTCAGTTTGTTGACGTGGCTATAACATACGCATTTTGGGGGTGTCCTTGATTTTAAATATGGCGTTTAGGCAGCAGGTGCACCTTAGGGCATTCGTGCAGTTGCAAGCCGATTTGTAGGAAATGGGATCTCCAACTGGATTACCAAAGTTATTCTGCGCAAAGCCTGAACTGAACATGAAACTAAACAACACCAATGCCATATATTGCATGCCAAGGCTTACAATAGAGTATGCCATAGTTCAAGTATTTTTTATATATTTTTTTTTATCGGGATAAAGCAACTTAGATGTGAGCCACAGAACTAATAAAAAACTGAGCAAATCGTTGCTTTTAGTGGTGAAAATGGTTGCTCGCTAAACTATTTCGTTACACTTCATACATTTGGGATCGGAGTACCCATAGACAAACACGTAACACATTTCTACCCGTGTCAAACATTCAGTTCGTGGCAAGACTCCAAGCGGAAAACATCTAAAACATATTTTTGGAAAAGCGTAATAAATATGGTATTATATTGAAAGCCAAAGTAAACTGGTACTGGTCTTGCTTGTTTTGGTTATCAAATTAAATGAATAAAAAGGAAATTAAATGAGGAGCACCAATTTTTACAATATATTTTGTGGGTAATTTACAAAAAGGCTAAGCCTGAAAGTAGGCATCAAATAGGTAATTAGTGCTTCATAAATGATCCCTAAAGTAGACAATGATATTTGCTAAACTAAGGGTAATCATAGAATACTTTCTATGCAATGTTTTTGAATCTGAATCATTTTACAATGTTTCGCAAAAAAAAAAATAAATGTCATATTAATTTCTGACAATACTATACAATAAAAACGAAGAAATAATATTGCAAATACATTTATTAAATTTTGAATAGCAGAGCGACTGTCCTTCTTAGGCAATACTTATGCCATCCATGCCCAATTTGAGGCATGGAAAATCAACGGACAGCAGTTCTTTCTCTGCAAAGCTGCTATAGAAAATCGGACAGATATTGAGACCCTTAAGTACCGACACCTTTGCGTCCATCTTGAAGCACACAACCATGGGTGTTATCTGCGATATAATGGGTACGCAGAAAGAGGGCGTGGTCTTCGTATCCAGTGTAAGCTTTAACACTTCATTGCCATCCAGCGTCATACTCATATCCACCGACGCTTGTAATACATTTACTTTAAGTATCATGCAAACTGAAAAAATACACAATTTAAACTAATTAAACTGAAGTTTGTTGACGTGGCTACGACATACGCATCTTGCTGAAGTCCATGGCCTTAACGATAACGCCCTGACAGCATGTGCAGCTCAGACTCATCGAGCATTCGCAACCCGATTTAAGGGATACGAGATCTTCAGCAGTGGCTGTCAGCACAATGCCTGAACTGAAAATACAGATCATCAATACCAGGCAAGTAGTCGGATTTGCCATAGTTAAAGAACTTTTTTATATGTATTTTTTTATCTGGATAACGCAACTGCGGTGTGAGCCACAAAACTAATACAACATTCATCAAGTCACTACTTTTTGTAACCAATGTTGTGCACGTTACAATTAATATACTCATTTAATTTTTGGCAATTAAATTAAAAATAATAGAAAGAACGGTTCATTAAATTTCCATAATCGCGCACAAGTTCAAGGGTAATCATGCGAATTTTTTGCGGGGGCAATTTAGCAAGACCTAAGCCTAAAAGTAGGCAGCAATAATGTACAGAGTGCTACGTAAGTGGAATACTTTCGGTGCCATTTTAGTAAATATTAAAATTTGCTGTCTACATTTATTAATGACTAAGGCCTGTTTACACATGCTGCCAGTGTTGCCATATATTTTAGTATTTTATCGTGGAGCAAGAGAGTGGCAAAATAATAGAATGTAATATTAAGTAATGATTATTTGTATATATATATATATATATATATATATATATATATAAATATATGTGTATAATACAGATCATATTTAGCCATTATTTCAATAGCAAAATTGCAGATTATGTTGCATAGGTTTTGCATTTTCCATTAGTTGTGATTGATTGCAGAAAGTGGTACTTCTTGATGAGATAAAATTTAATTTCGATGGTCCAAACGGCTTAAATTGTTACTGGCACGATTTGAAGGAGTCTGCGAGATTTTTTCATATTCGAAGCTATAGTGGTGCTTCACTCATGATCTGATATATAATTTTAGTTCGTATGAACATGAGGTTATATAAGCAGGTTGGACGAAGTTTTGGTGAGCTTTACGGAGCATCAACCAGAACCAAATGCATTATTCCAGTATAATAATGCTCCAATACACGTGTCGTGGGCCTGCTGTGGGTGGTTTCGGGATAGGGATTTTTAATTTTTAGAGCGGCAAGATTACCCGACCTGAATCCCATAGAGAACATGTGGGGACATCTGTTCCGTCGAGTTTAAGTGGGTTATCGACAATTTGAGACAGTTGAGTAGCTACGAAGGCTTTAGTTAACGAATGGTCTTTTAGTTATGAACTGGAGGATGAACAATGTATTAATTTGTTATTTTCATGTAATTTCTATTATATTAATTTCATTAGCACTGTCTTTAATCAAATTTAGCACCTTAACCTCATTTTAATAAAAAATATATTTAAAAATTTTATTTTAATGTTACAAATGTAATTCCTTTTTTATTTGACGTGTATTTAAAACTTTTTTGGAACAAAACAAAATTTTAAAAATTTTATTTTAAATGTTATAAGGAAAAATCAAAAGACTTTGCTCAAATTTGGCGGAGTTTATATTCATATAAAAATTTCGAGATTTCCAATCAGAGTACCTTATCGGTTATGGTTGGTAATTGGTTTTCTTTAACTATGTTAACTTAAATACAAGTTACTAGATACATTTTTATCGCCCCCCTTCGTTGAGAGTATTGATAAAATATTTCTGATCAGTCGCAATAAATTAATATACAAATCACTTCAGCGTAATGCACAAACTGCTCAATAGCAAAATCTCATCCCTTGTTCAATGACAGTCTTAAATAAAAAATAAAATATGATTGAAACCAGCAAATGCATATTGGTTAATTATTCCTTTTTATTTTATGATTAACAATCTTTTCTTTGATTTTAAAATAAATATAAAAGAAAATAAATATCCTATGGACAATATATTTCAAATTTTGTCACTTTATTATTCAATATTTTGTTGGAGTATTCCCATAAAGCAAGAACATTATTATTTATCACACCACCAACGCAAAATCGTGTTGTCAGGGGCTGTCAGTCCATTTATCATTAATTAATATGCACTCACATTGAAACAAAACAAAACAAAGCTAGGCACCGTTATGTTTAGTTTACTTTCTTTGTGGCTTTTAGCATTGGAGCTGTGTTTGGTTGGAGACCGGTTTCCACTCAGTATTTGCTACAATGGATTAAAAAAAAAACATAAAATATTACGTATACGACGCATCATATGGTGGATTGCGATTTTTCGACACCTGGCTAAAGTATTCTTTGCAGATCTCTGCTGTTGGATCGCGACACAAGTTCATCTCAGTCTTGTTTGGGAACTTCAATTCGCATCAACATGACAGCTGCGAAATTGGTAAGTAACTGAGAGCCCAAAGGACACACTCAATGAAGGGGTGGAGATTTCTGTCGACTCTGTGACAACGATTCAAATGGCATTCAAATTGTTTGCATTGATAATCAATGAGTGTAATTAAAATGTTAAATGCCGCAGCTGTTGCTCGAACTGGACATTCGAATAGCTATATAATTACTCCATCAAATGCAATTGAAAATTAATTTGTATCTCACTCGTGTATCTTATAGATATTTGTTACTGCCCTGCTGGCATGCTTGGCAGCCAGCTGCTCGGCTGGCTTCCTAGACTACATTTTCCCCACCATCATGTCGGAATATTACTCTCAGGTGCCCACCAAGGAGGGTTATCGTTTCAAGTAAGTAATTTTAATCTATACAAATCTAACAAGCACGTGACAAACATTTTCTTATTAGCTTGGAGGAGCCCAATGGCAGCAAACGTGAGGAAATGGGTATTATTATGAATCCGGGACAGCCCGACGAGCATCTGGTTGTGATGGGTTCTTACTCCACCTACGATGATAAGACCGACACAGAATCCATTACCATGTACACAGCCGACAAGGATGGTTATAAGTCGCGCTACATGATCAAGAACCGCAAACTTAGCGCCGCTGTTCTGAAGTCTGGAACTGGTTAAAAATTAAACAAATTAATATTTTTATTAAAAAAAAAAAACAAATTGGACGTGATAATAAGAGAATAAAATACAAAATTATTATTGCTGAAATTATAGTGAGATTTGAAACTGGTTAGAATCCTTGTTCTTTGGTCAAGATCAAGTTTAGATGTTTCATTATCGAGTGATAATCTGGATAGACACGTTTGGGAACTATTGCGTAATACATAATACAAATCAAAATAATAATATTTCTTGCAGTTTACACACAAAATGTTGAAGCTACTCACAATTTTTAGCTGCAGAATCGATTTGACCATGAATGCTTGCTTTACGGACTTAGAGACATATTTGGAAGGCACTTAAATAATTTGCATAATTTATATTGGCATTTATAACATCTGGACGGTATTTATAAATTTTTATTCACGCTTCTTAGACAGATTATTTGTGCATATGAATTGAATTCAAGTTAATGCACTTTTAAATGCTTATTAACTCTTTTAATTAAGATGCTTGAACAATATCAATTAGTTCTACAAAAATGATTATGGGAAGCTAAGCATGGCAAACACAAAACAAATATGAATTCTTTATTCGAGCTCTCTAATCTAATTAATTAACTAAAGATTGTTGACGTGGCTACGAGATAAGCATCTTGCTGAAGTCCATCACCTTAACGACAACGCCCTGACAGCATGTGCAGCTTAGACTCATCGAGCATTCGCAACCCGATTTAAGGGATACAAGATCTTCAGCAGTGGCTGTCAGCACAATGCCTGAACTGAAAATACAGATCATCAATACCAGGCAAGTAATCGGATTTGCCATAGTTAAAGAACTTTTTTATATGTATTTTTTTATCTGGATAACGCAACTGCGGTGTGAGCCACAAAACTAATACAAAATTCATCAAGTCACTACTTTTTGTAACCAATGTTGCACGTTACAATTAATATACTCATTTAATTTTTGGCAATTAAATTAAAAGAAATAGAAAGAATGGTTCATTGAATTTCCATAATCGCGCACAATTTCAAGGGTAATCATGCGAATTTTTTGCGGGGGCAATTTAGCAAGACCTAAGCCTAAAAGTAGGCAGCAATAATGTACAGAGTGCTACGTAAGTGGAATACTTTCGGTGCCATTTTAGTAAATATTAAAATTTGCTGTCTACATTTATTAATGATTAAGGCCTGTTTACACGTGCTGCCAGTGCTACCATATATCTTAGTATTTTATCGCGGAGCAAGAGATTTCGTATTTATTTTCTAGTGGCAACATAATAGATAATAATATTAAAGAATGATTATATAATATATAATCGTTATATATATGTATATAATGTATAAATATATGTGTATAATACAGATCATATTTAGCTATTATTTCAACAGCAAAATTACAGATTATGTTGCATAGGTTTTGCATTTTCCATTAGTTGTGATTCCTTTACGAAATATAATTACTATATATAAAACATCAAACATATCATAAAAATATACAAAATTATATGTATATATGCATATATAAAAAATTAATACAGATTTTATTAATTTCTTTATTTGATTCCATTTTAACTTGCAAAATCTGTATTTACTGTTGCACACACAGACATCTCTGGTAAAGGGCTACCAGCTTGCCATTCAAATTTATTTCGACGCGATGTTGCCAAATTTCGCAATTTAGGTGCGGGCTTTTAGTCTATTTAACATTCAAATTAAATTCAGGAATTTTAATCTTTTAAATTTATCGTTCAAGAAGAAGTGATTTTTTGGCAAGTGAATATGTGCTTTACATTTATATAAATTTACCCAACCGCAAAGCCACGACACATTTATGATCGCATATATTCATTCAACTTATTAATGATAATGTGACATTTTTAACGTTTAGTTTCACTTTTCAAAAATACGTATGCGATAAAAAGAATGTCATTGTTACCTGTCATTATGAGTCATAAGCTATTCTCAGTTCTAAGCCTAATAAATACTTTGCAATTATAATGATTTACAATGTTAGGGGAACTCTTGAATGTTTTGTGATTATTTATCGAAGATTTCCCCATAACAACACTGGACTTCTCACTAATCTTCTTTTGTCATTAGCTAAAGCGAGAGAGAAGGCGAAGGCCAACTTGAACAAGTCTCGTAATAAAATACCAAGTGTTCGAAAGATGGACCATTTTTATTAAATTTGATTTTGTCTTATGAAACTGGTTAGTTGATGCTAAGACAATAAATTTTCTATGACCGTGAATTAACCAAAAAAAGCGAAAGTAAATACATACATAAATAAAATCCGATACGACTTATGCTAATTCAAGCAAAGTTTAAAATATTATCAGGAATCAAAACAAACAACAAAAAACTGCGTGCAATCAATTTGTATTCCATTTTCCAAATTTGTCGTCCACGAGCTTCGCAAAATATATTATTTCTTGAATTTACGTAGGCAGCTTTAAAAGTTACTTGTTCACCTCTTATATAAAATGTCAAAGATACTCTTTTCCGTTTTGTTCTATATTTCTCTCTTTCTTAAAAAAATGTTAGTTTGATTCTTTAATTTCCATAAGTGTGTCCATCCCAAAATAGTTTGAACTAGAGCTAATTTATTAATATTAATTAAGAATAAATAAAATAATTGTAATTTAATTTATATTTGACGACTGTATATTTATATACTTTGTTACCGAAAGTATAAATAGTATATTGGTTTTGTGCAATGTCCGTCATGCTGTCTGTCTGTCTGTCTGTCCGTCCATCTGTCCGTCTGTATGGACCCAACTTTTTTCGACACGCTTAGAGATAGAGACTTGAAACTTGGAACACATACTGGTCGTGGCCCGTGTCAAACAAAGTGAAAAATTGAATTGCTACGTCCACCAGGGCGCTAGGAAATCGATAAAATCGATAAGACCATATATCTCACACAATTTGAAAGCTAGAGTGCCCAATTCTGAAAGATATGTTGCTAGTAACACCCTTGAAAAATCCGGGAAACTTCGAAGGAACGGTACTAGCTTATATCTACCGCAATTTGAAAGGCAAAGTTGGACATTACTTCTTGGCAACATCCACCCTGTTCTTTCATACTTGTTTATCTGCTGGGTTGACTTATGGTATCAAAGTATTTCGCAGTCGGTTGTTTTAGTTGATTTTATGTGCCGTGCTTTTGGTTCTGTCATCTGCCATCATTTCGTATTTTTTCCTGGACTTTATCAACGGAGGCCACAATAGAGTTACACATTACAAACACAAGCGTACAAAGTAAGCAGTTTTAATATAAACAAATCTAACAAACATCTAACCAACACACTCTTATCAGGGGAGTGAACGACACACAGCCGATAAGGATGGATACAACAAACCGCACCATCAATTTTTTGGTTCCAAAATCAATAACTGGGTAATTTTCGAAAAAATATATCTAGAAGGTGTTCACAATTTCAATTGAATACATTTTTTGTTAAAATAAGATCCTTGCTTAAAATGATAAATTAAGTCGATTGGCATCAGCAACAGATGACATATTAAAATTACAAGAAAACTACAACAAACAATGTTAAAAAGCCAACAGCAAAAAAAATATCACAGAGATAAAAATCTGCAATCTTACGGACTGGATTGGATAAAAATGCTACGGCACCGAAAATTTTATTTGGCTTAAGGTTACAAGAATCGAAACATTCTGTTCAACAAATATTATTTTGGAAGAAAATGAAGACAAAGCCATGTTTATTTTATTTTCAAATTTATAAGGAAAAAACCAGAGCCCTTAATCAAATTTCGCAGAGTGTACATTCATATAATAACGTCGAGATTTGCAATCAGAATACGTCATCGGTTCTGGTTGGTGATTTTATTTGAAAAATAATTGCCAGCAGTCTTGGTTTCCATTTACTATGTTAACGTAGTTAAATAAAAGTTATTAGATATATTTTTATCGTCTTCCTTCATTGAGAATATTGATAAAATATTTCTGAACAGTCGTAATTAATTAATATGCAAATCACTTCAGCGTAATACACAAACTGTTCAATGGCAAAATGTCATCTCTTGTTCAATGACAGTCTCAAATAATAAATATAGTTAAGTGTATAAAATATGATTGAAACCAGCATATGTATATTGGTTATTTATTCCTATTCATTTTATGATTAACAACCTTTTCTTTGATTTTAAAATAAATATACAAGAAAATAAATATTTCAAATTTTGTCACTTTATTATGAAATATTTTGTTGGAGTATTCCCACAAAGCAAGAAGATTATTATTTATCACACCACCCACGCAAAATCGTGTTGTCAGGGGCTGTCAGTCCATTTATCATTAATTAATATGCTTAATTATGTGGAGCTGCTAGAAGTGCTACTCACATCGAAACAAAACAAAACAAAGCTAGGCACCTTTAGGTTTAGTTTGCTTACTTTGTGGCTTTTAGCATTGGAGCTGTGTTTGGTTGGAGACCGGTTTCTACTCAGTAGTTGCTACAATGGATTAAAAAAAAAACATAAAATATTACGTATACGACGCATCATATGGTGGATGGCGATTTTTCGACGCCTCGCTAAAGTATTCTTTGCAGATCTCTGCTGTTGGATCGCGGCACAAGTTCATCTCAGTCTCGTTTGGGAACTTCAACTCGCATCAACATGACAGCTGCGAAATTGGTAAGTAGCCGAGAGCCCAAAGGCCATACTCAATGAAGGGGTGGAGATTTACATCGACTCTGTGGCAACGATTCGAATGGCATTCAAATTGTTTGCATTGATAATCAATGAGTGTAATTAAAATGTTAAATGCCGCAGCTGTTGCTCGAACTGGACATTCGAATAGCTATATAATTACTCCATCAAATGCAATTGAAAATTAATTTGTATCTCACTCGTGTATCTTATAGATATTTGTTACTGCCCTGCTGGCATGCTTGGCAGCCAGCTGCTCGGCTGGCTTCCTAGACTACATTTTCCCCACCATCATGTCGGAATATTACTCTCAGGTGCCCACCAAGGAGGGTTATCGTTTCAAGTAAGTAATTTTAATCTATACAAATCTAACAAGCACGTGACAAACATTTTCTTATTAGCTTGGAGGAGCCCAATGGCAGCAAACGTGAGGAAATGGGTATTATTATGAATCCGGGACAGCCCGACGAGCATCTGGTTGTGATGGGTTCTTACTCCACCTATGATGATAAGACCGACACAGAAACCATTACCATGTACACAGCCGACAAGGATGGTTATAAGTCGCGCTACATGATCAAGAACCGCAAACTTAGCCCGGGTGCTTTGAAGTCTGCAGCTGGTTAAAAATTATATAAATTAAAATGTTTATAAACGAAAAAAAAAATCAAGAAAAAATTGGACGCGATAATAACAGAATAAAATACAACATTATTATTGCTGAAATTATAGTGACATTTGGAACTGGTTTGAAACCTTGTTCTTTGGTCAAGATCAAGTTTAGATGTTTCATTATCGAGTGATAATCTGGATAGACACGTTTGGGGACTATTGCGTAATACATAATTCAAATCAAAATAATAATATGGGTTGACCTTATGAATTCTTGCAGTTTACATAAAATGTTGAAGTTAGCCACAATTTTTAGCTGCAGAATCGACTTGACCATGAATGCTTGCTTTACGGACTTAGAGACATATTTGGAAGGCAATTAAATAATTTGCATAATTCGTATGGCATTTATAACTCATACGAATCTTGATGGAAATTAATAATTTTTATTCACGCTACTTTGACAGATTATTTGTGCACATGAATTGAATTCAAGTTAATGCACTTTTAAATGCTTATTAACGCTTTTAATGAAGATGCTTGAACAATATCAATTAGTTCTACAGATCTCATTATGGGAAGCTAAGCATGGCAAAGATAAAACAAATAAGAATTCTTTAGTCGAGCTCTCTCGACTACGATATACTCTGAACCCAGCTGCTATCGGATATCGAAATGTATCGATATTTGAGAAACGGAGCCAGTTACCGATAAAATGACGCAAACTTGATCTGCACCGGGTATTCGAGATGCTATATTCCAAATTTTAAGTCTCTAGATCTTATAGTCTCTGGGATCCGCGTGACCTTGCAGAGAGTCGTATAGATGGACATGGCTATATCAACTCGGCTGTTGATCCTGATCAAGAAGATATATACTTTATGGGGTCAGAGATGCTTCCTTCTGCCTGTTACATACACTTGGACAAAACCATTATACCCTTTTTACCCATTTTCAATGGGTGCAGGGTATACAAATACAATGACAAAATTATGAATATTTCAAGAAAATAGGCAATTTAAAGAAACATTAGCTCATAGCACTTCCGAGATCATATATAATGTGTTTAAAATTCGTAATAATCTTCATTGTAAAGCCAACTTCAAAGTGAACGCCATAAAATGAAAAATACCAAAACAAAAAATAACAACAAAACAAACATCATCAATCATCTCAAAAATTAATGAATGAAATGTTATAATAAAATGCTTCAAAAACTTATTAAACAAGCTCCGAAATCATAATTTATATCGATTATCGATGTGCATAAGAACATAATTCCCTCAACATCTGAAATTCCTAACAATTAATTTCAGATCCCAAATTCATAATTACATATTTGGAACATGATAAGTGTTCGCGTGATGAAGGTCAAATATGAAATGGGGGATTTTTTGGAAATCTGAATCCGGAATTCACATCTGAATATTTGGTCGCTGTTAAACTGACCAAAGCAAGAAGGTGGGCTTACACGCGCTGGCATTGTTCACGAATATTCCCCAAAAGTGCCAATTATTATGTAAAATTTTTTTGTTATATAAATATTCTTGTACATGTGTACATATATCTATATACGATGTATATTTTTTTTGTATTTGTATCAAAAGAATATGTGTTTATAAATGCAAATACTTGTTATATTTACTGGACGACAATCCAAATGCCCTGTTGCAACTCCTCTCAAATGCCCGAAATATTTAATTTAATTTTTTTTCTAAGCTTGTTTTTTTTTGTTGTCTCACTTTATGTGAAAATTATTTAACAAGTTTGGAGTTACCAGATAGTGTAAGCACGCTAGCCAGCGTCTGAAAGGACATATTGTCAGATTGACATTTTATCTGCTGGCTACGTTGCATTTAATTTCAATTAATACGAAATTTCTAGCTCCATGTTAAATATGTAAAATCTATTGCAGCATTGCCAGCGTTCGCAAAAAGGCCTCGAGCGGCGCTTCATAGCAATCAGCATCTGAGTGTGTGCATTAACAGCTTTCTGTTAAAGCTTATGTTACGCTAACAGCAAGTTCGTTGCAAAACTTGTCAAAAATAAAATTTCATATGAAAAGCTAACGCCAAACATGGCATAAAACATTGAGGGGAAAAGCAAATCCGAATCTAGCGGCTTTTTGTGTGTAAGGTGTGCGAACAAAGCAGTGGAAATGAAAAGCTTTGAATTGCTTATTAGCTGCGAGTTAGCTTGGCGCGCAATTGGCTGCTTTGATTGTTGCCACAGGTAACTGACCAGACACAAAGCGGCCCAAACAGAGAGCCGCGAGACAAACAAAACAAGCGTCAATGAGACAAGCCGCATGTGTTGTATTTACACTAAAAACTTTTTCAAACGAAATTAAATAAAAGTGTTTAATAATAAATGTTTATAACGTTATTTTTTAGAGTAAATACTTTTTTTTAAGCAGCAAAAGTATTCTTAATAAAAAATACTTTTAGATTATAAATTATTTTCTCGCGTCTTTTTAGAAGAATTTTAGATTTAGCAGAAATAAAAATAAATTGCAAAAATTCTATTCTAATCGGAAATTCGTTTTTATTTTTACGTAAACGATGAAAATCTGACTTAATTAAAGTAATTAATTTTTAGAGAAGTAATATTCTTTATCGTTTAACAAATTTACAGATTTTTTTCCAAATATTAGATAACTTTTTCTATAATCTATTTTTCTGAGTGTGCATACTGTACTTATGTATGAGTAACAACAGCAGCAGCGTCAACAACAACAACCAAATAAACAACCACCAGGGCAGAGCCAGAGTGCGCCCCTAAGTTTGGATTAGAACGTCGCGCTCAGTTCCCGGACAACTTTCAGCGATGCCAGAACGCGACGCATAAAGAGAAATGTATATGAAATTCTATTCGTGCAACTATAAAATAAATAATTACAAATGATATCGCAATTGTAAAATGATACTTTAGGAAAAGATGTGCAAGTGTTCAAAAAAGTGATGTTGCTTCAGAGTTTATAATTAATTGAAAATTCACAGGACACAAAACAGGGAAATGAAAGCAAAAATTACGCGTTCTGTGTCATTTTTATTGTTGTTTTTGATCATTTTGCACAAATGCAAGGGTCGCGCAGGGGGAGAGGGGGCGCCAGTTGGACAGGCGTTGATACAATTAAGTCACGGTAAGCTGAGCAACAAGCCAAAGTGAAATTATTCGTATTGTTAAGAGACGCATTGATATATTTTGGGCTTAAATATTTTTAGTTGTGGTCACGGCTTCAAATGACCCTTCAACTGCTGCTATTGTTTTTGTTATTGTTATTGTTGTTAATGGTGTTGCGGGCACAAGTAATTTGACCTTTAGCTTAATGCGTCAGTGCTTCCGAACAAAAATGTTGGCCAAAAAAATCACAAAAATTTCAAAAATGTATGGAGGTAACCCAAAAATATAGGACAATCAATATAATTTATGAGTAATTGCAAGGAAAACAATTGCTGCCAAATCCAAACAGGTGCACAAATATGCGTTCAAGTTAATTGCGTTGGCAACACGCACACAAATTGGTCAACTTTGATGGCTTGTCGACCTTATTTTGTTGTGTTTTTTTTTTTTGGGTGCTAATCGATAAATTTATTACAGTTTGTTGTCTAACCCGGGCATTGTTGTTGCTAGTGCTTGGTCATCATCATTGAGGCCAGACCATCAAAATTATGACTACTTTAGAGCATAGACAAATCACAGACAAGGAAAAACCCTTTGAAAAGGGGTTGTGTGGGGCACTTAGCATAATTTATCAGCAACTTTTGTTGCTGTTGCTGCATGCAGCCAGTTGCAATTGATCAAACAAACTGGCAATGCGGCATTAAAATAAGATACATAAACATAATAAAGGCGAATGGAATCCATTCAGCTAACTCACAATCAGTCGCTTCAAGTGCCGACGACTTCGCCACGTTGGGTAGGTAACCAATTCTCGTGATTTGTCGATAAATTGAGCGGCTTAGCGTCATTTACTTTGACAGCAGCGATACTAAGATACTCCTTTTTTTTACTTACATTACAAAATTTCCGTAAGCTATTGCGTTTCTTGAAGTGATTTTGAACAGATTTCAAGTTGTGGTATTTTTTACTATGTTATATTTATAAGACTCATATTGCTTATTATTTTTCCTGATTATCCTGATACTTTCCTAATAGTATTCATAATTCTAGAACCCCATAAGACCTAAACACATTTTATATGTTAATAAAGATAATTAAATTAAGCTACTTAAACACTTTTCCAAATAGTATAAACATGTTTCTGTCGTTCCCTAAACATAAATTGAAACTTCAGAAAGCACTACTATCAGAAAAACGAATGTTATTCAACGAACTACATCATGAACTGTATTGAAATCAGAAAAAAAACAGAAAACTTATTATTCAAACTAATCTAGAAAAACTGTCTTCAAAGTTACAACAATCCCTTTGGCAACTCATTAAAACAAGCGACTGAACTCTTGTGGTAGCCCAAAATAAAACTATTTGTGATATATATAATATACAGCAAACTGGTGGTAAGGGCAAGCTCAAAACTGTCTATAAAGTTTTTTGCACCCCAGTTAATTGCTATAGTAACGACATAAAAGTTCAAGAAACTCCTTAATAACAAGCTGCCAATTTGCAAATAAACAATTCAACTATATTTATATAAGCAAAAATAAAAGAAAGCGATAAGGAAATGAAAATAAATAATTTTAAAGACACCGCAATAATTAAATTCGTGCGACACGCAAATTTGCAGATGATGATTTGGATGATAACTATCCGGAAATTAAGGACGAAGTACATTTGGAGGATTTCTTCTGGACGGGGTCAGGGGATGGGCCGCCAGACTATTTAAAGAAGGTGCACACAGGCATTAGCAAGGGCAAGGATGTGATTGTCAAGACGGAAACGGTGGTGGCAACGGTCTACGTGGATGGCAACAATGTAAGCCCAATATAAAGCTACAAATTTTCATTTAAGTTATTATTTTGCTTTTGTTTTTGTTTTTAGGAAATTGAGATACCTATTTGTCTGGACTGTAGGCCCGACGATGGTGGCGGCAATTGGGATCTGGGAACACCTGGGATGCCGCCACTCAATTACTCCGCGACGGATCGTCGCTATTGGCTGTTGACTGTCATGTCTGGCTTCTATACGGCCAAAGATAACCCTGTGCTAGAGGAGAAACTGGCGCGACTCTATCGCTTGGCTTTCACCAGGTGAGAAAACTTGAGAAATTGTACAGTCTACCTTTGGCATAAAAATAACGACGATTTTCGAAATTTTATTAGTTTTATTTTTTGTGAGTGTATAGTTCTGGTTAATAAATAGTTTTGACTCAAACTTTCATATTTGGGTTACACAGACAACAAACACGCCACCTGGGCATAAATGGAGCACAACAAATTGCTGACGATTCGGTGGACGCACCACGTGAGCGTCGCCAGCCCGGTGCAGAAATAGCCACAGCGACAACCACCTGGCCAGGCTATGATGTGGAACTACTCGACATGGATGTGGATGTGAATGTGGATGGTACGCACCATGTTAAAACTGTGTGGGCGGCTGGAGAGGCGGAGGGTGGGGAGAACACCGAATGGGCAGCTAGTGACTCCGCTGAGCCAACAACAACAACTACAACAGGGAGTGAGTCAGTCGACTACAGTGCTTATGTAACGCTTATCCCCTGGGAGCTAATACAGCAGAATGGCAAGTCGGAGAAGTTGCAAGAAATGCGCGAAGCGTTGTTAAGTCAACAGCAACAACAACTACCCATCTATAGGGAGGAGCGAGTCCAGGTTGTCATACACAACATCACGCAAATCAGCGAGTCCGAGCTGCAAAAGTGGAACAGCACTGGCAACACCGTCGTTGACTCTGACGCGTATGTTAACCTCAAATTGTAGGACTAAAAGCTCAAGTAACTGTATCATTATTCACTAACTTCAATCTTGTATTCGCACAGCAATGAGCGTCCCGTTGCCAATCAAACGGAGCTCATCTACACGGTCCTCGTGAATGGTCGACCCGTTCTGGCCACAACGGCCGCCAAGGACATGGAACTGGTTAGCGAGGCTGAGGCAGTCAGCACGCTGGGAAAGCCCATCTATATGAAATCAGAACGTAAGTTTAAGTCAAATGAGTTGGAAGGGAGCAGAATTCATAGCTAGACAATAATCATTAAATTTAAAATTATTTAATTCAGAAATTTTCATATGTATTTAATTTATTATGTCTACAAAATGTTACAAAAATTAAAAGAAGGGAAATTAAAATTGAGTATTTTATTAAGCTAAAACTCTTTTTAATCACAGCTTACATTAGGGAACCCACAGCAACTGCTTTGGCGCCCGTGCCACGCAGTGGTCATGCTGGATTCTTCAACTCTGTGAAGAATAATGTGGCGCTTGTGGTAATCAGTTCGTTGGCCATTCTGCTCCTAATGCTGCTCTTGGTGGCCATTTTGCTGCTGGGACGCACACGCGCTCGTCAGCATGAACTCAGTGAAGTTAACAGGTAGGAGAGTAAAGTTTTGGTTGTTATCAGTTCATAATCTAATCTATCGGTGCCGGCAGAACATCTTCACGCAATGAGCTTTTGTCCGAGGGTCAATCCATGCGACCCAGTTCTCGAGGCACATTGCTGGACAGTGCTGCGGGTGGCTCTGGTGGAAATCCGGCTGATCAGAGCACAACCCGCTCCCGGGATGTGGGTGTGCAGAACTTCTCCTATGAGCGGGAGCCACGCATTAGTTTTCCAGGACCACCAGCAGAGAAACACACTCGTGTTAGACACGATTCCATATCCTCGGCAGATAACACCTCCGACTCTTCCGTTTACTGTCCCATCAATCCACCAAGCGCCGATGTTCAGCGCATATTGGACGACAAGGCTGCCCGACTTTTTGATGGCCACAAGAGACGACGTCATCAGTATGATCGGGCGGAGGGTGGACTTGACGATACCATCTACGCCTCAGTTGTGTCGGAGAAGAAGAACGAGAAGTCGCGACACAAATCAAAGCGTCGCTACCTAAACGAGAATCGTGTGGGCTCACTGGAGACAAGTCCGGTTCAGGGTTCGCTTGGTCAAAGTAACTCCTCCACGGAAGAGGGCAACTCGCCGGCGGCGATGCGTCGCAGCTATGAAAACTTTCAGCGCAATGAAGCCTACAATCCGCACAACAATTACCATCGCAACAAGCTGCTCCAGCAACAGCAGCAGACAATCTTCACAGACAAGGAGTATCCAGAAGATGGCGTTGTCGGATCTCCTCAAGCCATCAATCGGGAAATGATACGCTCGCGTGGTGCGCAACAATCGGAGAAGTCCTCGGACACGGCTAGTGTGGGATCTTTTCTCTCGATGGCGTCGGTTCGTGCGTTTCCAAAGAATCAGCTGCCGGAGCCACTGAATCGCGTTCTCGATCCCGTTTTCGTTACCTACTACGACAATGTGAATGCTGTGGCACCACAGGCAGTGCCACAGAGCTCCACCAGATCCCTGAAGTCACACAAGTCGCTGGGGAGCAGAGATACCACAATTGCGACCATAGCCAGCTTTCCCAGTCCGAAGGCGCCGCCAGTGAGGAATGTACGTTCCGCCTCGCACAGCGACAATCCGGATCCGGGCTTTGTGGGCCCCGTCGTCTGGGAGCGGCACAAGAAACGTTTGGGCAGCAGCGCTGACAACCAGGGTGAGACGGGTGGACACAATGACAATGACAATGACAATGATGATGACGCTGATGTGCAAATTGGGGCACAAACACGTTACTAACCTGGCAACTGTAGTCCTTGTTGTTGTTGCATGCACACAGCTGTAATTAGAAATCTAACCCCAAAAGATAGAGAGAAATAGAACCCAAATATCCACTTGCAGCTACAGCTACACTTACAACTCAACTGAACTTCCTCCAACCATCTTCCGCAGAGGCCCGCAGCCATGCAGACTTTAACCCCAGTCAGATGCACGATGCATCCGCCATACGCAACCACTACGAGGGTCTGCTCGAGGGCGCCATGCAGATGTACGCCAGCCAGGATGATCTGCCGATGCCATTGCCCTCCCGCGACTTTACCAACAAACGACGACAAACCACTAAACGCGAACATCGCGGCTCCTCAGCCGGCTTACCCAGGTAATATATCAATTTGTGTCTACCGACTATGCAACATTACTAGGATTAAAATAGGATTCTAAGATAAACATTCTTATTTAAAAGTCTATGCTTTATCACCATTATTCGCCAAGACGTTACTATTTTACGATATTAGATTCTTGAGACAAAAAAAGTTCTTAGTTATCTTTTTCTTCGGACGAAGTTTCACTCACTTTAAACTACTTACCCAGGCATTGTTTTCGTTAATTACAGCTATGCTGCAAAGGCTTACAGCACAGCCGAACGTCCTTCGACCGCGCAGCCGGAGAAGACACCGAAATCGGCGCAGTCGACGCAGCCGCCGTCGCCCACCTACAGCGCTTGGGGCAGCAGCCTGCACGGCTCCCATTCGCCACTGGTGCGGCCACTCAGCGCTGGGCCCTTCCATCGGCCCGATACCATTTTGGAGATATCTCGAGGTGCACTCGCCACATCCAGTTCCACAGCAAATACGCCTGGACGTGCTCGTAACTCGCAGACGGCTTCAGCGGCACCACTAATTGAGGCCATTCAAAGTGAATTGCGCAGATTCAAGGAGCAGAAGGATTAGACATATCAACCAAAAAGTGAAATTTTTTAACCATTTTTATTTCATGATACTGTACCACGCTGAAAAGATCCACTTTTTCAATTTCATTAGAATAAAATTTTCACAAAACTTTAAAACTGTTTTCAATCTCAGCTTGAGAGACAATTTCTAATTTCCACTTAACCAACTTCAGAAAAAGAAAAAGAAATAGTTTCCAAAAATGAGAATTTTGTGAAAGAACAGCATTAATAATTTTAATATGTCTCTAAAATAAATTCGAGAGAATTTGCAAAAATAATACTATATTTTTTTGTGTTCAAATAAAAGACCAACGTATTTTTAGTTTTATAATGAAGCAATAATACCAATATTTAACATAATGCTTCTTAGCTTTATTTAGTGAAATTTTGTTGAAATATGAATATTTATAGAATTTACATTTGTAATGTGTTTCGGGGGTGTTTTTAAATCAAATTTTAAAAAATCGTTCACCGAAATTGTATTGCCCTCACCAGCCCATTAGTTATGTTCATTATTTATTATATACCCATTATAATATTATATGTATATAGTAATGTTGATCTCTATTTAAAGCGTAAAACATTTGAATCAAGTGCAATTCGTGTTGTGTTGGAGTGTGTTTGCGAATGTGTGTTGTTTCCTTCGGGTAGATTAATCGATTAGAAAAGATCCTTGTGTTCCTTGTCGGCAGAAGGATAGTCTTTAGCATTGACACTGCGCTTGCCCAGACGGGGTCCAAACCACAGGCCAGAAGATGCACTGGGTCCGGTGCGTTTGTCCAGCGCCTGCTGCAATGCCAAGAAATGGGCCCAATCCCTCAGATCAGAATCACTGCGTCCTACCCGAGGAAATGGCACAAAACTGGAGCGCTTTTGGTATTCTGTAAAAGATAAAATATAAATTAGCCTGGTAAAAAAGGAATTCAATGAGACATCAACAGACCTTCGAAATCCTCTGCGGAGCCATCGCCAATGCCATAGATACTATCATAAGCGACGGCATCGTTGGCATCGTGAAGGCTGTTCACCAGACTCGGATCGCTACGTCCTACACGTGGAAAGGCATAGAGACCCAGATTGGCACCGCGACGGTTTTTATTATGTTTCACCTGCTCTTGCTCTAAGAATGGAGATAAAAATCATTAATTATCTCTCAAATATGACTGCAAATTAGTATATAGAGCGATAGACCTAAATTGAGTTTATTGATTCTCAAATTAATATTTGTTAATTTTTTTTATTAAAATTGATATGTGTGAACTATTATTAGAAAATTAATAAGTTTATCGTGGCGAAAAATTAGTATTTGATTGTTTGATTGAAGTCTGAATTGAATATTCAAATGTAAAATTTTAAAGTGATTTAGAAAATGTAAGCATTGTGCCACTTGTTGTTCGGCTTAGGATTTAATGGAAACAAATTGCAACGACTCGAGGGACAATCTGAAAAGTGGTTTCACTGCTGTCAGCTGTGCAGAGATTTATAGACGCGGACTAGCACCCTGGAGCACTGGACAAGTACTATTGCAACAATGGTTAAGCCATATTAATTGGTCACTCAAAGTCCCTAATTCAGTTTTATTTTTCAACTCACCTGCTGCACTGAATTTTGTCAACAAAACAAGCAACAATATTGTGTAGACAATGTTGATAAGCCCCAAAAACGACTTCATTATTTCAAAATTGAAAGCGCTTTCAATCTTTTGCAAATGTTACTTGATGTTTACTTCTTGACAGTCGCTGATAGAATGCTTGATGCTGAAAGCAACTCTCGTCCTTATATATGCCAAGAGCTGATTCAATGTGTGGGTGGCAAAGTGGACTACAGGCAACATTTGCTCTTGCTGCTGTGGTTTCGTGCGGGAAAAAAAATGTTGCTAAGGCTACGAACTTGTTGCCAATAAATTAAGCCATTATTTTAATAAAGTATGTGAAGTTTTCCGTGATAAGTGCGCTTAAAAATGTGGTTGACTACTAAGTTAATATAGTTTTCTTAGACAAAAATTTTCCAGGCAATAAAATGTAAGCTATAAGTGTGAAAGTAATTGATTTTTGTTTGAGATAGGTTTGAGAAACTAATGCAATGTGGAAATAGTGCTATTCTACTGTTCTTTCATATATAGTTGACTCAAAACAATTGCATTTAAAGTTGTTTACATTTCGTTTATTTATTGGTCACACACAATTAATTTACTTAGTTCTGCTTAAAAATCAATACATGATTTATTGAATACAGAATCCTTTGGATTACAGCCAGCCAGAGATCATGCGGCCAGTGACGGTCGATTTGCCGCGATCGCCACCCGCCGCGGCGCTGCTTTGACCCACCTTGTTGACTGGCTTGACTGGTGCGGGTTTCTTATCATCACCTGGTTTCTTATCGTCCTCTTTTTTGTCACCTGGTTTGGCTTCGCCAGGCTTGGCCTCCGTTCCCGTCGCCGGTTTGGACTCAGCCGACTTTCCATTGGCATTCTCCTTCTTGTCGTCGCCCTTCTGCTCTTGTCCGGTTTTTTTATCCCCGGCCGGCGTGGCTCCTCCGCTGGTCTCGTTAGCCGCCTTCGTGCCATCGGGTGCTTTGTCTGCTGTTGTGGTCTTCGTAGTGTCCGGCTTGGCATCTGCAGGAGCTGAAGGCGCCGCACTCTTGGCAGCGACTCCACTTGCCGCTGGTGGCTTGGCTGCCACACTTTTGGTTGCCTCCTCCTTCTTGGCAGCCGCTTCCGGTTTAGCCGTTTCATTTGGCTTTGGCGCTGCCGCCGGCTTGCCATCCGCTGGCTTGCCAGGTGGTGCAGGTGCATTAGGTTTCGCTGCATCGCTTGGCTTTGCTGCATCGCCGGGTTTGGCTGCTTCGCTGGGCTTTCCAGCAGTTGGTGGCTTGCTGGCTGGCGGGGTGGGTTTTTGTTCGCCTGGTTTGCCGTTAGCAGATGGCTTGGAATCTGACTTCTTATCATCAGTCGGCTTCTTGTCGTCTGTTGCTTTTTTATTCTTATCATCCATTGGTTTCTTATCGTCCTTTTTGTCCGCACCATTGGCCTTTTCGTCGACATTCTTGACAGAGGCGCGCAGTGCAGCTGCTGCCAACATGGAGGCACCTCCTCCAGCGCTGTTTGGCAACTTTTTGGACTGTGAAAATTGAATCAATTTAATTTCTGATATAAATCGGGGTCTTCAGTCTTTAATTAATTAATTACGATAAAAATCTTTAAAACAAATAACTTAAATCAAAAATCATCTGAATTGAAAAGAATTAAAATTTTAATTATTTTTAAATCGTAGAAAATCAAATATATACAAGCATCTACTGCAAATTTGTGAATTTATTTTCAATTCAGATGAAAACCCAGCAAAATGAATCTGCTATATTTGTCTATTGGACGCAACGTATCATTAGGCTTAGCATATCATTGATTCTTACCCCACTGGCTTCTGGTGGTTTCTTGTCATCGTTGCCATTTGTTTGATCCTCAACCTCGCCCAAAGAGACCTCGTCGGCTGCCATCTTCTTGCGCATAAACTTCACATAGGCGACTCTCGTCGCAGCCGTCACTTCGCCCAATTTCGGATTGAATTCTATGGATTAGGAAGGATATCATTAATAATAATGCGGTAGATGCTAATTACAATTATCACACACCTATCAATTTAGTCTGATCCATTTGTAGACCCTCGTTAGCCTGCTCGATAATCTTGCGCCTCAAGCTGCGCTGGCTGTGGCGTTGCATGGAGGAGCGCTTCGAACCAATTGGATCCGCAGTAAGTGTCTTTTTCCTAGCAATTGCATTCCAGTCCTTATCTCTGTAATCGAAAGAAAACTCAAGCTTAACTCTTGTATCAAAATATAAAGGGTAATTCCCCTTACCCTTTTTGGGTCTTCTTTCTTCCAATGACCTTGGCCAGTGAATCGAAGATATCGCGTCCGTTCTCGCTTTCGTCCATCTCCTGCTTCAAGTTCTCCACAAAGCCAATCTGGAAGTCCTTCATAATGCGACGTTCCATTACCTTGCCCTTGGTGGAGCGAGCAGCTGCATAGTGGTTGTTCGGTTGAGTGGGTGGCTTAGCAACATGTTGGGTGAGCAATTAGTAATTACCTTGCGTTTTTTTTTCAATGTCCGGCACATCCCATTGGTTATTGGTGAAAATCTCCAGCAGTTCAAAACGTAGCGAACTAATATCTTGACGCACCTCAATGATATCATCCTCAGTGATGCCGTAATCGTCCCTTCGCCGCTGCTCCGCAGTAACATAGCGTCGCACCAGCAGCTTCATCACTTTGTCATGCAGCGTCTGCGCCTTCTCCAGGGACTTACGCTAAGGGAGACGAGAGGTGTGGGGAAGCAGCATTAAAATTGACGCACAGCCAAGCCACAGGAGCTTTATTGAAACTGATTTTCTGAAAGGATTTGCATTGATTTGCCAAGCGTTTGGGTTAAGCCCTGTGCCACCTACCATAAAACTCTTGGTGCGAGACGGTCGCCTGCGGCCGAGTGTCTTGCGCAGCATTTTCATATTAGGGCAGAGATTAAATGGTGGCGGTATGGTGCCGCCATCCTCAAAATAGCTCATCCACAGCTGCGAGCGAGCAAACTTCCACTCGGTGTCGGCACGCTCCGAAATGATTTGATACGAATTGGACATCATGGCAATCAACATGTTGAGCAGCACAATAATATTGATAACCGAATACGATCCGAACATCAGCAGCGCCCAGAAGCGGGTGAAACTCTTGATGCCAGCCAAGTCGAAGGAAACCAGGTCCACCAGACCAAATGACGCCCAAAACAGTGATTGCGATGTCTCAAACAAACTGTGAAATTAACAATCTAAGAATGGGGAAAAGCATATAACAAAAGTTTTGCGGGATTACTTGGAGAAGCGCCGCCAAATGGTGCATGCCTTTTCCTGGTCATCAAAGTCCGCCACATCGGGATGTAAATGATAGCATTTATTCTTCTCCAGCTCCGCATAATACCAGAGCAGCTGGTTCAATCCGCAGCCAAATGCAAACAGGACCAACGTATAGATAAAGAAGAACTTGATAATATCGATAATCATGCGGCCCAGCGACACCTGCAATGGTCCCAGATGTGGATTTATCGAGAATATGTGCACCAGCTTCAAATAGGAGAACACCATGCCAGCGGCAAAGGCGCCCTCGGAGAGCAACATGGGATCGAAGGGATGCCAATGTTCGCGCGGAAAGTATGGATCTATGCCCCTGAACCACAAATCTCGCTGAAAGTAGTCAATAATAATTAAATCTAAATGTAAATCGAAAACCAAATATATGTCGATGTCAATAAATAAACAAAAACTTAACTGATAAACGTTTAACTTACATGCACTATTACCCAAGCGGTGGCTCTACAAAGTATCCAAGTGACATAAAACATATTTGATATATAGTCCACAATGTTCCACAGATCCGTAATATACTCGAAAAGGCCATCGGAATATAAAGTCTTGAGTTCCTCAAATATCAGAGCGGCTATATACATTATAATTGCCAGCTCAATGGGTCCTGGAAGCGAGCCGCGTTCATGTTTGCGCCAATCCTCCAACATGGTCAGCATCCATGGAAAAGCCAGCAGTTCAAAAGTGATTTGCACCACCCGCAATGAAGCCGCGCCCAAAAGCACTGGCATATAAAAGACCTTAAACGTTTAAGGATATAATATAATAAGGGCTTTAGGACTCACTCAAAAAGAACATGTAGGAGCAGGAGTGTGTTATGAACTTGACGAATGGCTTGCGCATGAATTTGGCACCATCCGAATCCGGTGCCAGAATATACTTCATACTGTAGATGGGAAAACTGCAGCCCAGCTTGATGACTTCTATGAGCTGCTGACTGCCCTGCTTGCGCCGGAAACCGGGTAAGCCCTCATACCAAATGGCAGCCAGCAATTGTTGCACATTCGGATGTGCCACAAACTAGGAGCAATAATTAACTGAATTAAGCAAAGATATATTTTTGGAGAATGAAATAAATCATAAGCGTACCGTCTTCTGTTTGTAGCGTATGGCTAGCTTTAGGCGATCCAGTGTTTGCCGATGGCCGGGACACCAAATCTCATGCGATGGCTCGTGATTAAAGTTCAGCATCACCTCCAGTTCCATGGAGGTGCGGGCATGGTCCAACAGCGCCGTTACAAAATCCTGCACTGCTTGACGCATTTCCTAAATTAAAGGAAAGTAAAGAAAGGATAAGGAAATATATTAAAATGTACAGCATAAGTTAAGTTTCATAATAATCTTTTAGGTTCTCCTATATTTCTTCAAAATGTCTTTAATATTATTAAACTAAATTTAAGAAGTACATATTTCCTTAATGAATCAATCAAATTTAATCAAATTTGTATATATTTTTTTAATGAACAAATCTTTTTTAAAATAAATTTTATGTGTATAGCCCTCACCGTGTATTCTGCGCGAAATTCGGATTCCATGGCCTGCAAGCGCTTTAGTTCCCAGGATAATTGAAAGGCGGTTAGCACAGGATCACGTGAACTTAGAGCTATCAGCGAGCTGGCCGAGAGTGCCCGATATGCATTGATACGCGATTGCGAGTGGCGCAGGGAGTCGGAGGTCTGCGAAGTAACGCACTCGTCGCAACCGCACCTGCAAGATTTGGGAGTTAGGAATCTATATTCCAGAGAGGTTTGCAATTCCACTCACTTGACGTCGTGTGGCATGGGCAGCGTTGCACCACGATCCAGCAGAATCTTGAGTATCTCATAATTGTTGCGATGTGCAGCGAGAATCAGCGGTGTTATATCCGTGGTAAAAGTTGATTTCGAGCGATCCACCGACTCCCAGCTCTAAACAAAACAAAACAAAACACTTACACAAGATTTATTGCAGCGTTATCTCAAGAACTCACATAGGGATCTCCTTCCTTGTGATTGGTTTCCTCCCACTGCAACAACTCCTCGACAGCCTCCACATACTCTTCAGATATGGCATGCAACAGAGCATCGCCCACTTCAATGTTGTTCTCCAGCAATAAAACCATCAAATCAAAATTCTCATTCTCAATGGCTGAGATAAGCGCCGAGCGATTCATGGGATCCGTGCAGTTGATATTGAACTTTTCGGATGGTGCGTCCGCATAATCATCCAGAAGTCTGCAAGCATAGAGCTGTCATTAGATTGCAAGGACATCCAATACAAATACTGACTTCTTGACACCGGCCAAATCACCACGCTCGCAGGCTAAGATAAAGTTCTTCTCGACATCACTCAGTACATACTCCTCGGCCATCATTAGATCGTAATCCAGGCGGGAGCCGGCCGCCTTTTCGGCATCGGTCTCCATCGTGGCACTGGCCTTTGTTCACACAATTTCAAAACAATCAAAGGTAAAATTTTCACATTTCTTGAAAATAACACTTCACGACACGGGTTATCCTTGCTAATCCTTTTCTTTCTTTTTTATTTTTAATTTTTGTCTACCCCACCGTATCCTTTTTGATATTTCACACGATGTTGAGTCTCCAATTAGCCGCGTTGAACTGTCCACAAATGGCCAGTACGCCGTGGTATATGTCGCTAATTACATTAGCGCTTGGCTAAAACTCGGTCAATGTGTGTGCAGTGCAAAACAAGTCAATGGGCGCCGTCAGGGCCCTATCAGCTAATCGTCAATTGACTTCGGTTCTGTCTCTCTGATTGCTCGAGCAGCGCACGTGAAAAATGCAGGGAAACAATGCACAATGCACAATACGAGACAAATTATGTTCGATTTTCGATTTGAGAAGCCCTAGAAATAGAACGACACTCGTTCACTAAAATGTGATATGGGCCAAGCATGCGGTTCGGGAATCGATGGTAAGCCCAAAAACCTATGGAATATTAAATGATCATATTATATATTTAACTTTAATAATTATTATAATTATAGTTTGAAAATTTTAATGATAAGCGTTAGATTAGAACAGTTTATTTTCAATATTTATTTTAAATCAAAAACATCCACTCATAAAAATAAGGTTTAATTTTAAGCTCATAAGACGACATAAGCTTGACGACTTATCCAAGATACCACATAATTTACTAAGTTTACTGAAAATGTTGAATTGAAAGTTCAAGAATTAAAATGCTTTGAATAAGTTTTATATCGAGTAATTGTTAGAAAAAGTTAACTAAAAAAAGCTTTCTAACAATTTTAGTATAGTTTAAACACAGTTAACATTCACAGTAAACATTTACAGTTATACACAAAGTTAACTCTTATGTATAACAATTAAATGAGCAAAAGCTTCAAAGCTCTGAATATAACTTTAAAGCACGCAGCTCAAAGCTTTCCAACGCTCTTCGGTAAGAGTCAAGACAAAATTTCAAGAGCGCAATTGAAAGAGTAGCAAATGAGTTGAATAATTGACTTTAATTAAAGACAGCAACAAGTAGCTTCAATAAGACTCAGAACTGATTAGCTTTGATTAACTGAGCAGGTGCTTAATTGCAAATTATATGCGCGTTATTGAATAGGCAAATTAATAATTGCCTCAAGTGAGGGCCATATCGATGATAGGTAAACAAGAGCAACAACTGTCGCTGCTTGACTGCATTTTGTATGCCCCACGTTGCATGTTGCCTACTTTTGTGCGTTCGCAGTGCGTGTTTCTATGTCAATGCACTTGGATATTAATATGCTGCCTGGCAATGGGATGCGCAAATGCACAGGAGGTTACAGATCCTTTGATACCTGTGCAACTGTCAGCTTGCCTCGCTGGATTGACAGCGAAAATGGCGTTGTACGTGTTCAAGTTGTGAAGTACATCGAGCTGGGATGGAAGGGTTGCAAGAGTTGCAAGGGTGCTGAGTGAAGGGTGCAAGGGTGCAGAGTGCAATGCACTTCGCTGACATTTCTCCGTGTGTGCAGCTCGAAATGGAATTTCGAAATTAAAGTTACGATTGCGAATGAGTGGGTCGTTGTTGAGGTGATGGATCGGTTTTAATTAAATGAGAATTTCTATGTATACGTAATGTGCACTGAAAACATTTTGAATAGAATTGATGCAAAGGAATGGATGTGGTACATGCTATATTTTCCTAAAGCGAAAGCTAAAATAGTTTACATTATATTTCAAAAGGCATCATTGTTTGTTTTCTGCCTATACTTCTATTAAGGTATAAGGGCATTTATTGGAGGAATAAATACGCTATATGTACAAATAATGCCATGGAATCTTTTATTTTTGAGTCAAAGAACTTTCAGTCTCTTTAAGTTTTCAAATTGTGTATAAGAACGAAATGAACTAGTTCCCACTGCATATGCCTTAATAATACTTCGCCATCGTCAGCTGCACTAAATAAAGCTCACACAAATCGCATGCAAGTAGTCCTCACTTGTATCCCGTTTCCCTCTACTTAGGTGGCCATTTGCGTGCGCAGGGCGCACAGAGCGTGGCGAAAGCTGTTACACTTAATAAAACATTGGCCTCCAGAAGAACACAGCCCACCGCACTCCCCGCCCCTTGCCCCTTGCCCATTGCACCTCCCGCAACGTTCGTTGTCAGCTAGGCTTTCGCTTCAGTAGGCCCTTGTAGGCGAGCGAAATGTATCTTTCAGCCCTTGAGCGGCAGCAGTCGTTTTGCTGCTTGTTAGCACAAGTTGCACTTTCACTGACTTCAGCAACAGCCAGCAACAGCTATAACAACAATTATCATATGGGAACAACTTTAGAGGCGGGGTCAACTTTTGCTTGCCAAGACTCACAATTTTTTTTTCATAACAATTACTTGATTTATTTTTACCAGGCAGATACTAGAGACATTAGAATAAAATTAAAATAAATATAAGCTTTTATAATGGCAAAAAAATTGTGAGATTAAAATAGAAAGACCTGAGAATAGCCGAAACACTACTAAACATTGCCATACCAAAAAAATACACAATAGCAAAATGATGTAAAGATTCAATTGTAAGGTGTAATATGAGTGGAAAATGCCAGGATGGTTTGTTACATTTTCATTCAAAATGCAGTTGACAGTGATTATAAGAATATGCGGCACACTTAAAACATAAAACATAATTAACTTTAAGTTAAGTAGTAACCAGGAATCAATTTGCGTGTCTCTTCCAATGCAATCAAGTACTTTAAATACCTGAAATAATCGGTTAGCGACAACATCAAAGTAAAAATGTAAACTTATTTAAGCACAGCTCCCCTTTTGCATTTTAAGTGTCAGGTGAAGGCAGAAGCGAACGAGTTGCATGTGATATTCTTGAAGTAGGCGAGTTGCAGGCAACAAAAGACCGCGAACACTCGGGTTGAAGAGAACAAACGATGAGATTAACATAGTGTAAGTATTTGCAAATATCAACTACTATTATATACACTAGTCTATGCTCTATACAGCTGTTTGCAATCGATATGACTTCAAAGGTGCAAGCGTTAAAGTTAAAATGGTCATTAGTCATGAATTTAATGTAGCCGTTCTATTTTTGTACGGAGAACTACTTGAAAATAGCCGCATCTCAACTTGACCCAAACGATGGAAAGGAAAAAGCAGCCGTAAGCGTAAGCGTTAGTTACAGGAGTTCAACAGGGGAAATTCACCACCTTTCGTTGGCGGCTATTAAAGCCGATGTCATTCTATGGCAGGCGCTCAGTGCACAACTTGGTGGCCAGGCGAACGCACCTAGCAAATCGAAAGGATAAAACGCGCACGGTGAACACTGTTGCGGGACATTTGTATATTTCTAGTTTTATATATTTTTTTTCTTATTTACCAAAGAAAAAAGGAAACAAAAAAAACCCATTCAAGTGTAAACAACATAATACTCTGTATATAAACATACATATACTCTTATATGTATGGGGAGCATCGAGCGATAAAGTACAAAACAGAATAATAGAAAAGTTTCAGTGGCAAAAACAATTACATGCAATTGTTTGCGGGATATCTGTAGGAGCTGAACAGGCAACGGTTCTTGTTTGTTTCCACAGTTGGGTAAGTGAAAGTGCCTTTGGCTGCGTGAACAACTCAAAGGATTGCAGCCACAGGATGTACTATTGTGCATTATTATCCTGTGAATATGTTTGTTTTGCTAGCTGACAGAGTTCACTGACTATCCTTTGGGTATATGGAGGCTCATAATTTCCATGGGAATTGGGAATGTATGAAATCATTTGTTACTTTAAAGAATTAACTTTTATGAAAGTAAATAAATATATTACGAAAAATTCAGATAGTAATCGAAACAAAACTTTTGGCAAATTTTAAGTTTAGCATTTAGTACACAATGCTATCTGCCAATTTATATATTTTTCCTTGCATTACCTTTTTAATCGTATGCTATCAATTTGGAAAATACGTGCTATTATTTATTGTCTGCCCTCCCTCGCTTATTGCTTGCCACATGCCACCGGGCCCAGGCCACATTCAAGATTTCGCTCATTTCTGTAGCTGTGGTGTGGGTGTCCCTGGCACAACTAAAATACCAATTTTCTCCATATATCAAACTAAATTCCTATCGAGGGGTCTGCATTTGGTGTTGATTATGAAATTGTTTTGCAAAAATATTTTTATTTTGTATTTTGCAAGAATTCGTATTGAATTTTAACGTTGGCATTAAATTTATTGCTTGTTGGATAGAGTCCCCAAACTTGAGCAGAAATATAATGTGGACATGAATAATGATTATAATATATTCATGGGCTGACAGTTGTATTTACAGACCACAAATTAATTTTTAATAACGATAAAAGCTTTTCCAGTTGAACATTTATCATTAAATCATGCATATATTAATGTCATATATTTAGTATGGGTAAACATGGACCAGGTTTATTGAACTCCATTTAATGGATAATATTTTAATTTAACAATATTTTTGTTATTTACTTCTGCAGTTGCTTTCAAAGGATGCTTAACTGAAATTCGACTTGATACAAAGTACAATCGATATAACAAAATGTTCCAAACAGTATCTTTAAACTAAATACGATATAAGAACCACAGAAGCTTAGTAAACTCAGAATGCATCAGGTGCTCAGCTATGAGACGGCTGTGAGGGCCAACAGCAGCTCGCGTGAATACCGCGAATATATTTCAAAGCGCACCTGCGCCTCACTTCTCCTCACCATTGGCTTCTTTATGCTTATATCAGGTGGGTGACGAGGGCTCTGACTGTGGGGATGCCAAGGACTAGGGGATATGCTAATGAGTCTTGTTTGTTTGCTTCACAGGCTACTTACTGGGCAACTTTGTAACGGAACGCAAATATCACATACGCCAGCTGCTTACAAAAAAGGCAATCAAGCACGGAGATGGAAGCGGGAATGGCGTCGGGGACGTGGATGGGGATGGGAACCGGTATGTGCAGCTGAATAGCGTGGATTATGGCAACTTGCAGGAGATGCGTGCTTATCAAAAGAACAGGGACCAACTGCTGACTGCCGCCCAGGTGCTGAACAAGCTGCTGCAGCAAGACGAGAGCGAAAAATATTTGGCCACATCCTTAAATACGGAGATCTTTAACAAGTACATCAGCTGCACTCAGGATATACCGCCGAATACGAACATCAAAGCTAGCCAGTTTATAGAGCAACTGATAGATAATACCATTGCCAGACAGCGTGATTGTATGCGAATTATTCAGGTGGTGATCGATAATCATCTGGCAAACAGTCAGCTATGAGTCACGTTAACAAGCTGCCAAATTGAAATGAAACGCTACAGTCGAATCAATCTGTTTTTAGTTCTACAGCCAAATTATATATTTATATTCTTATGAAATATTTTAAATAATGTAATTTATGAATTTTTATATGTGTATGTGTGTATGCGTAGAGAGTTTTCATATTGTACTAATACTATTTTCAAAAGCAAATAAAGCCAAACCATATATATAGATGTGTTGAAAACAAACTGTCATCTATGCAACCTTGTTCATCACTCTATTCGTCTCGTATGACAAAAGAAGAGCCCCAAAATAACAATAGATCGGCTTAACATAAATAGCAAATGGAGAGGAAAGCCCCAAACCAAAATCTTTTGTTTTTGGCTTAAAGTTTTCACACGCAGTCAGCACAGGTGGGCGTTCTGTGGCGCTTCAGGCACTAGCCATTAACATATTGTGGGTTTACGGGGGGTCTCTGAGCTCCGAAATGATAATCACCTAAGGAACAGGAAATCTCCGAAATATGTAAAGCAAAGTGCACAAAGTTGCTGCAATAAAATAAAACCAAAAACAAAACGAGCAAAGAAATTATTGGATAAGATTTATGATATTATTAGTTGAATCGACACTTTGTTACATAAAAACCAAACAGGTCAATTTCGGGGCATGGCTGGGCTTGGCTGGGCCGAACAGAGTGGCCCCATGCACGTTCATAATTAACGATCACAACTTCGCTTTTTGTTGTTTATTAGTCTTGGCTGTAAATTCACATCATTATTGATTGCTTTTTCTCCGTGGTGTGAAATTAATGCAAACATAACGAAATTCTAATTAAGTGGGCTTGGTAGAAAGTTAACTTATATAATCGGCTATAACAAATTATTCTATAATTCAATTTTCACCTATTTTAATTGCGAACATAAATCTTAATCAATTTATATTTGAACAAGAGAAAATGTGGGTGGTGGTTTTGTGCAATACCTGACTGTTTGTTTGTCTGACTACTTATATATCATACACTGTATGTATAGAAGAAGGAATCATTGGGTCAAACCAAGTCTATATTTATATTGCTTATGAGAACTCTATGAAAATTAGTTTAAGTTGTAGCTAAAAATTGTAAATTAAAAAAAAGAAGCAAAACTATGGTTTAGAAGAAACATTCAATTGAAGTTAATTTTCATTTCTAAAAAGTTGTCAGTTGAGAACCAATCCATAATAACCATTAAAAGTTAAGAGAACTAGAATGACCATTTTGTGGGGATTTAAGATTAATATAATATATTATGTTACATCCAATAATTGAATAAGTTAAAAACCAAATTATGTTCAAGAAAAGTGCTGCTTTCGTGACCCTACAGATGTCAGTTGCTTTTATATTATTTCTTTACAGTAATGGGTAAAACAAGTTAGTAAATTTTTTTATTTCTGACTTGCGTCTGTAACAAATTGAATGCCTACTGAATAATGGGTGTGTCTAAGTGTGCTATCTTATCATATATGGTACGCTGAATATATATGTCAATCCAAGCTATTCAATCATGATCCAAGTCCTACTTTGAGTATTTCAACAATTTCTATAAACAGATATCAAAGCTTGCCGAGGCCCATTTCAAGAAATGACAGTGAACTGAAGACAAATGTCTCGCATGGCATTAAGCTGCAGACAATCAATAGCCAATGGCAGTTGATGGTTCATGAGTTCAGTTGGTCGAACAATGGAATGCTGCCTATAAATGCCTAGCTTGTCAGTAGCCTAACAAGACAATATAGCCAGTATCACGTAGTATCAAAAGTCAAGCTGCAGCTGCCCTTGCCGCGGGTGTGACCACAGCGTGGCAGACAATTAACCGGCTGCCAAATGATTGATTTAGCTTATTTAAAAACCCATTTCGTATAATCTGGAATGGACGTAACCATATGGCAACTGAAAGCGAACCCAAAGCTGATGCTGAAGCTAAAGCTGAAGATCCGTATTAAATGCGTCTATGCGGAGATGATGATGATGACCTCCAAATTCAAACTTAAACTCAAATTCAAATCCCAAATCAAAAACGCAAATGCAAATGAGCCCAAAATGCGTTGGCACATGTTGTGTATGTGTGTGTTTGTGTGTTGTTTGTGTATTATCTGATCCCCCCTCGTCTGCAGTAAGCCATCTATATTTCACACCTTAAACGATTGTATCAATGGATCCATTGCTATTTCATTTCTCTATTTGCATTTCAAATTATTAGCGGCTGCTCTTATTGACATGTTTATTTAATACACAAAGGCCTTTGTCTTATCTACGATTATATTTTTTTTGTCGTCTTATTCCAACCGAATATGAACCATCATATCATATTTTTTAACAAATTTCTCAATTGTTTTGTGCCACTTATATGTAGCCAAGTCGACTTCCAAACGGTTCGATCGCTCGTTTAATTTGCCACCAATAAATATAAATACACGATTGGCTGCGTTTCTGACTGAGGAACTTGATGAGGCATTTTGACAAGCGCATGTCATAATAAAGACGCCATGACGAACCTCAAAATCGCATTGATGGGAAGATTATGCAGACACGTGGTCAAAGATACACACACCGGGGAACACCCACTAAAACGGTAGTTATTGGTGTGCCAAATATTAAAAAATTTATGTATTTGTTGTATAATTACTAAAATATAATTGATAATTTATTAATGCAAATCTGAAAACCACAGGAAGCATATAATTAATATAAACATTTGCAAAATTTACTAACATTAAATATTTTTCATTTTAGGTTTTACGTATTATGATATAATTATATATTATTAATATAATGGTTCAGAAGTATTTATAATTTACAAATACGGACAAGGGGAGCAACACAACCTAATTAGTCTTGTTGCACATCTCTCAGCAAAGATAAAGTACCTTTTGCAAGGGTATTCGAATCTCTTTCAAAATGTATCAGCACGCCAACCGCAAAACTTCATTAAGAAATTATCCATAGCCAAATGGATGCGAATGTTAGTTGGCATTTTCAATTTTACAGTGATGGCAAACAAGTAGCCAAAAACGCAGATCACGTTCAGCCTGCAGAGTTGGAGTTGATTTGAAGTCATGTGCAGCTGGTGGAGCTGGTGCTTTTGCTGCTGCTGCCAGGTGAGGTGATGCGGATTCTGGACAGACATTGCCACTTGCAGCACTTGGGCCACAATCAAAATTTGTTCAATGCACAAAATGCCAAAAACCCTAGTTGGCTGCCTGGCCAAGAGTCAAATTGAAAATTTGTTTGAATCCCACCGGAGAAACGCATATGCGATACATGTGCGATAAGGCGGTAAACGGAAAAGGGTGCAAACGGGTTCAAAAGCGCATAATGCGATGCGGCTCCGTGCAAATATCAAAAGTCACGACGAAGAAAGCAGGTTTCCAGTGGTATATGGCATGGATTTCTTATTTCTTTTTTATTTTTGGCTGCCTCAACTTGGATGTTTAGTTTTTGGGGTGCTGGCTGCGCCTTAAAATTCGTTTTGCAAATACTACCAATAATACTATGCGATAAATGATGTGTTTGTGTTTATGCTTGTGTTTGCGCCGGCTTCAACTATTGATTGTGTTGACTGTGGTGGTTATGTGGCACGTTTCCTTGAGGCAGCAGTGCTGTTCACTGCCTCTGCCTCTGCCGCGAGGCTCGACAGCGGAAGAGCTGTGCACATCTCAGCAATGCCAGCAAATCGTTTCACAACCAACTTCCAACTGGCGATGAAGCACTCGCACTTTATTACGAACTTTGCAACGCATTCGGGGTCAAAAGTATTATCTCTTATTATTGCTATATGATTACGAAAAATAGTATTGATAATAAATTAGTTAAAATTGGTATCCCCCTCTTTAATCTTAGAGAGCTTCAATTAACATTTGCTTAAAGCAAAGATCTAACAGCGGGAATTTGTATGTAAGTTTCGGCAAATAATCGTGTTTTCAATTTTAATCTAGTGGTAAGCCCGTGACCAAAATATATTACAAACTAATGGTTATTGAAGGTTGTATCCATCCCTTAAACATTGAAAAAATCAACTCGAATATTTTGTTAATATTTCTGTTATATGCTGTAATAGAAATAATGTATTATTTCTTTATGATAATAAATGTCATATTTTTATATTAAATGTCATGTTATTTATATTATTTAAATATGTATAATATATAATTCTATATTATTTTTTTAAGTTAATATATTTTGTTTTTTTCTTTAATTTCTAATAGTAATAATATTATAATATCTGATGATGTGTTTTATTATTGGATTTAATATTGTTTTGTTATCAAGCAATTATCAATCATTTAATTATATAATAATGGGTATTCAAAGCTATAGCTTCCCTGAATTTTCTTCATTTTTTTACTTTGTGGACCTAATTCATGGTCAAGAGTTGCGGGGCTTTGAGGTGCCGTTGAATGATCTGACATCAAAAGTGCATTAAAGCCGCATCAAAGCGCATTAATAAGCTGAACACGAAGTCTTGGCCAACAGTTGAACTAGTCAACAGTTCAGCAAAGCAAATAAAAAGCACATGCAGCAATACCAAAAAAACAAATGCAGACTTTGTTTACACTTCATTGTGCAAATGGACGCTTAAGCCTATGAGCTTAGAGGAAATGGTCAAGAAAAACGGAAATGTGTGTGGCCACTGTGCGTAGTCGATAGTTGAGCTAATTTGCGTACCCAAATGGCGCTAATTTGAGAGAAATTTTTCCAACGAATTGGCCCGAAATTGTTGTAGACAAAACAGGCGGAAGCCAGAGCCAGTTGAAGACGCCGTTGAAGTCGCAGTTGAAGCCGCAGTTGAAGCCTTGGCCAGTTTGAACTGTGGCTCGTGTTCCCGCTGGCCTTTCTTTAGCTGTCTGGTTGGATCATTAATGGTTTGGCCAACGCTGCAGGCAAGGATTTTGGCATGGCCAAAACCAGTTGTTTTGGCCACGCGAAGCTAAAGTCCAAAACTGAAGATGGGGCCGTCTGTGGTTAAATAACTTCCAAGCGTCATAAAAACACAGCCGCAGCAAGTCGAATTGGAAAGTGGCCAATGACGCGACATCTGCCAAGTTGTCAAAATGAGACACGCATAAAGACCAAACGAAAAGCTTAATTAAATAACAGTTGCTTAACATTGATAGAATGGCTTGATTATGAGATTGCATCATGTAAGGCGTTGCGATGATTTAATTTGCAATGCCAGTTGCACTCCAGACCCAAGTTCAAAAAGCCCATAAGGGCCACTTTTATTATAAGTAGCCAAAAGGCAACAACATAAGACAATAGGTCTGCAAGCAAAACGTAGCTTTCATTCATTAGGCCGGCAGCCACAGTCTTAAACATGATCAACAGTTGGCAACATTGATGCCAACGTCGACGGCGCAGTCGTCGTTGCCGTAGCCGTTGCCGTCACAGTCGCCGCCAACGCTCTGGCAACATTGCGGCAGCATCTTCAGCAACTTGGTCCGTTGAGGCAGGCGAGGGAAACCTCAAAAATTGAACGCTTGCGCTTCGGGTTCAGTCTGCAGCGAGCGTTCAGTCGGTTCAGTTGTTGTTTGTTAGCGGCCAGCCGCATTCAGCTTCTCCCCCAAAAAAAACACCACAAAAAAAGTTAATAATAATAATAATAAAAAAACAAAACAAAAACCAACGCGAGAGATAAGAAGCAGCTAACTATCGATCTTTTGACCGAATGTTGGTGCTCCTCTCAGTGTGAAGCGTTCGCTAATTTGATAATAACGATTCGAAATTTTTGCAACTAAACGAAAATAATAAACCAAAAATTAAGTGCAACGAGAAAGACTCGTTACAAGAATTGAGCCATTGAAATGAAATTTACCTCTGACCATTACAGCATTAATAAATTTATATAAGAAACTGTGCATCTAACAATTACCCAAAAGGGGTTAAAAACTAATTCGCGTTTAATTAGTTTCCATTGAAATACGAAACGTCTGGCAAAAAATTGGATTGCTTATATAGCAAGCAAAAAATGTTTGTGGTGAGTGACACTTGCGGCTATGAATCAATATATTTTATTAGAATAGTACTGTGGATAAATTACTTAATTATTTAATGAATCACTTAATAATGTTTCATTAAGTAAGCACTCAACCCAAGGAATACTCTACCTAAAAACTTAAAATTGATTAAATGCTGTTTATGGATCAAACGATGCTTTTCTCAATTTTATTTTCAATCAATTAGATAATCACTCTCGCAATGGAATTGCTAATTACTTTTTGGCTGTACAATGTTCAACAATCCCCTTTATACATAATTAATATAACACAATCTTTCTCTTCACTGTATGCTACTAAGATGTTCACAAGCGAATTAATAAGTTAATAACTTAATTGTAATCAACTGCAACGAAAAACTATAGAAACTTATAAGATGATTAAACAGGAAAGTAGAGGAGCGTGCTTACATGTGTTACATATGTCTTAATCAAGTTGAAAAAAAATAAATATATGCACATGCGTACTCTTATGATCATAAATCAAAAAATCCACCAGTCAGAAACGCCCAGTTTTGGCACGTCGAAAGTCATAGCATACTACAGAGTGTGGGAGTTTTGATGAGCAAAGCAAATCCATCAGTGGATGATCATATACATAGTGCAAAGACATTTGCATATTTACACTTGTTGTATTTCCTTTTTTTGCCAGATCGAATTATGGAAAGTCATTTGATTTGCATGCCAAGTCATTTGTGTAATGGGTTTTTAATGCTATTTAATGATTCCATTTCAGAGCGGTGATACCCCACGGGGCAATAAAACTATTTAATTAGCGACATGTGGAGCTCATTTGGTTTACAGATTAATCATAGCTTAAGTTACAATCATGCATAAAGATTATCAACAATCCACTTTACCTCAGAGCTAAATAAACCAGAAAAAAACATTTACCACAAATAAAAGGAGATACTTTGACGATTAATGTTTGTTGGTAGACCGCAGTTTTGTTTTACTTTAAACTAAATAAAGTGGTTTACACTTCAATCTAGTTTTTATCGAATGGCAAATACGTTTTTAAACTTTTTCCGGTTCTTTAACTTGGTACTTTTATTAACATCGCAATGCCACGCAACCATTGCCAACCAATCCATTAAAAGAAACACCCAAGTTTATCCCATTAAAGCTTATATAATATACAAAAAAAAAAAGTCACAAAACGATGTTGTTGCCGCTGCCACCGCTGCTGGCGACCTGTTGCAAAGTTGAGAGTTGCCAACTGGATGCTGACCAAAAGCAGCCAGTCCAGCGGTCTGACAGTCCAGCCATCCAGCCAGCTATTCAGGCGGCAACTCATCAGAGAAGACGTCCCAAAACGCAAAATAAAAACGCATCTGTAGTCTGTCGTTTGTTGGTCTGTCGTTTGTTGGTCTGTTGGTCTGTTGGTGTTGACATGCAATAAAATTTCACTTTTATCTTCATTGCATAATTGCAGTTTGACAATACTTAAAATTGATTATGTGTCTTATGATCTCTTCCTTGCAAAATTGCTGATTTCACCAAGCAGCCAAAATTAGATGCAAACTGCCACATAAATCATCTTTGTAAATCCAACTGTGCCCAGAGAGTGCTCGTCGTGCTTGCAACAAAAACATGACCTTTACAATAATAAGTAAGACACGCGAAAATCATTCAAATACCACAATAATTTAGAAAAAAAAATACTCCCACATTTGAAAGACAATGATATAAACAATATCAGATTTTAATTAATTAGGGGAACGAAATATGTAAATAGTATGATGGTATCATATATAATATCTTGCTAAACACAAACTCAACAATTAGAAAGAGACTACCAATAGGTACCCTGTATCTAAACTTAATCTGAATAACTTTTGTCTTCTCTCTTATTCTTTAAGTTTTGAATCATAAATTAGAAATAATATTTGTATGCATAGAGTAAACAAAATATTATGTTTCTTTAACAGATATATGATTTTTCTCAAATCTGGTTCTTAGAATCTCTTAAGGGATATGCTTATATACATATAGAGGGTATTGCCATCTGTCATGCAATATGCTTGCGCAACTTTTTTCGCAATTTTACGGCTACAAGGCATTCCAAAAGTGTTGTTTATTATAATTAAATTCAAAGTAAAAGCGAAACACACACTCACTCACGTTCGGTTCATTCACAAGGTATTCAATTCATGAGTTCAAAAACGACCGCACACTCAGACACACAGTCAGAGTTAGTTCGCCTGCTGAGATAAATGCAAGTGTCGTGTCTAAAGATCTGTATCCGTCCACAGGCCCTGCACGAAATTGTGCAACTGTCAAAATAACAATTTACCATGCCAAAAGTGTTTGCTTTGCTCACGTAAATCGAAGAGACACTGAAACCGACACCTGACTTTAAGTTGCATCGCATGCACTCATACATAAAATATCCCTATGCATATCCATAACCGTATCCGACGACAGCGTCGTCTTTGCATAAATTTTACTTGTTGAAAATGTATTTGACAGTGCACGTTAATAAATCTAAAATAAGTACGCTCTGCATAATTGTGAGCACACAACAAAAGTTTCGAATTGTGGCGGGTGGCAAGTTCGTTGCCTAAGTCTTTTGTTATTTTTGTATGACCCTCTTCATATTACGTTAAACGTTTTGATGACTTGACGAGGAGTTATTATTGTTGTTATTATTAGTGTGCTGAAAGGTCAACAGCAGTTCCAGTTCCCCTCTCTCACAGAGTGTACGTAAAATATCTAAAATGTAAGTGGCACACGATGCTGCACACAATGTAAGCGATTTTACATAATACATAATAATAATAATAATGCAACAATATGAGCAAAACAAAGCGACAGCAGCCACAGCAACGGCAACAATAACAACAACAACAACCACACATTTACCACTTGAGGTGGGCAAATGACGATGAGGCCAACTCGATCGTCTTCTTCTTCCTAAAAGCCAGATACTCTGGCGTCGATAAAAGTGAAACCAAAATTGCCCATGTACCGACTGCGGATTGCGAACTGTGCTGTGCCGAGTGCCGAATGCCATTGACATTGCATTTTTACCTCAACGTGCCATTAGATGGAAACAGCAACAAAAAAAAAAAAACAAACCAACATCAGCAACATCAGCAAAGTGAAGAAAAAGAAAAGGTTTGCCTTCGCCTTCTGTTTCTCATTCGCCCATCGAATTGCTCCTCGAAGACGCGCAAACAATGGGCAAACATTACGCGAAGGCGCCCGCCTAAAAAAAAATAACAATAAATAACAGGCAAAAACAACAACTAAACAACTTTTTTCACTATTTGTAAATTTTTTGTAATTCGCGCCCATTGGTAATTTTGTATTATTTTTTTATTTTCATTATGAAATAGCTTGCATTTTAGCTTGAGCAATCACCAAAGATTAAAATGTTAGCTCTTCGCTTAAGGTCTACTTCAAATCGATGAGCAAATAGGTCTTAAGCCATTATCTAATCTGTTGTTATCATTATTCGTATTGAATTTGATCAAAGGCCCATCAATACATGCATACATGTCAAATTTGACGATTTTCAACTTGAACTTCGGCTCGTTATCGGCCCCATCGGCAAACTTGACCTCTGTTCAATTAACAAAAGTCGAAACTTTTGTTTCTGCTGCACGTTCACAGTTCCCCAAAATGCTTAGCATAAAGACAATGAGGAGTGAAGTGGCAAAATGATCTGCGTATCGCTGATATACATATTTATATATCCGTGGCTATAGCTAAACGAGCAAAACGAAACCAAAACTCAATTAAATGCACATAAATATGTAAATGGATCTTAAATGAATTGTAACAAGCAATGAATACCGTATGAATAAATTCAATACCTATAAACCTATTGCCCAATGCACAGATGCCAATCAAGAGATCGTTGGCATGTCAAAACACAGCCATCATCATTGGGCTAAAAGAAAAAACAAATCTCTTGACAAACCAACGGAGGAACCCACTTGCCAACGAGCGACTCGTCTCCGATTTGATTTTTTAGTGTGAAATTATGCAAATGTCTCCCGCTTGTTATAGATATGGGTGGACAGGTGCACACATACACACACACATACACAATAACAACAATTACATGATGTTTTATGGGACTGGGCATTGGTTGGACGACGAAACATGGTAGCAACAAAGGCAGTTAAAAACTCGTAAAATACTATAACAAATTTATTGGGCAATCTCAATCATAGTCAATTTTTGCCCAAACAGTTAAATGGAAACCTGAACACGCTGAGAAAAATATAAAAGCTTAAGAGAATACGTTGCAACAAACAACTTCTTTGTAGATATCTCGAGCATGGTCAGCAATTAAGTTTAAATCAGATTAAGCCCTATCCAAAATAGTTCAACTTTGGTTTTAAGTGCTTCTCAATATTTTTTAACTTTTAAATTGCAAATTTAAAATCAAAATCAGTTCGCATATATCATTCTTATAATTCTAGTATTTTTATTATTGAACAGTCAAATACGAAATACAAGTACAAACGTATTTTCGTGAACATTTTTAATATATTTATGTAAAAGTTCATTTCCTGTAGTGATAATTTATATACAGTTTAAATTTTACTGCTTGTAGATGATTATCAATTTATTTTTTTTGTGAATGTGCTAAAAAGGTTTTACCCACTCTTGTATTTTTGTATAGCCACTAATCGAATGATTTGGGCGTTAACTGACTGGCACATGAAATAGACGTTATTACCACTTTAAGTTATTATGATATTTTATTACAATTTATGATATTGCTGCATTTTATGACAACGCTGTGATTGGATGCTTACAAAATAATATTAATATTTATGCTGGCCTACATAAAGCATAAACAAACAAACATAAAATTTGCGCAGCAATCGGAGGGTTGCGTTACCCATCCAGCTAGCCAGGCAGCCAGTCAGCCAGTCAGCCAGTCAGATAAACCGCTCGCAACTTTCAGATCAGGTTTTCATATGAGGTGCTTGCATATTTACAAGTGACTTGGTGGCAGCTGCTTAATAGTGCGTGGATTGCAGATGCCACTGGACGGTGTCCAGAGTGCTTAAGCAATTGCAATACGAAGAATGTAAAAATGCAGCTGTTAAAATGCAAAAATGCGAGATGGTCGAGCGGTGATCAGCGGGCGTGAAATTAATCACAAAGCGGGACACAAGATTCCCCCAAGCAATGGCTGTCAGCTTAAATTACTGGACAATAAGAGAGATATGAGGTGCCATTTTTCAATGAAACTGGGTTACCCAGTCTTGGCAGTCTTCACTTCTTTCAATCTACGGGTCTTCCAGTCTTACACACAACGAAAGTGAAGCTTCGTCTTTACTCGAAGATGATTATGTAAGTTTTGGTACTTTTCGCTCGCCGTTTGGCTCCATTCGGAATGAAAATAATGATAAATAACAGCAAATACAATTTCAGCCCACGCTCTGAACAATAAATATAGAGGCAGCTGAGGATTTTGTGAATTGGCTTATGGCTAATTCATTAAGTTGGCTTGATTGTTTAATCATTTTTACACCTTACCGCATATGAGTGAGGGGTGCGGAGCGTATTACGGAACTCAGGCGATGGATAAAGCGTAATTAAAAATTATTTATTAGCCAGCTTATTCATTTGTTTAATGTAAGCGCCGCACGCGAAAAAAATTTACTTGCTGCATACCAAAAATTGTAAGATAATCCGCGGATTTAGTTTTTTTAAATATCAGCGGAGAAAGTATGGGAAACACGATAAAATATCTAAAGTTTTTACGAAATTTTACTGCCTTTAAGAAAAACAAATATTTGGCTTATTAACGTTTTTTAAAATCTTTTTTGCGCTTTTTTCTAATTTTAACTTTAAAGAAAACTGCCATTGATGATGATTTGTGTGAATGAAGAGGAAACATTTGTAAATATTATGTTTCCGCAAAGAGTTGCAAGTTTTTTTTTTTAAAGTACTATTTGCGATGTATTTCCATGTTGAAAAAACAAATAAAAAATTATTAACAACAAATAAACAAATAGAAGAAATGTTTATTTATATACATTGGCTTAGCTTTTAGTTTTTGAGTTTCGAGCTAGAGTTAGCTGTAATGTAGCCGCTAGATTTCCCAGTGCCTTGACTTGGGCTTTACTATTTATGATGATTACCACTTTTAAAGGCATGTGCATAAGGCTGGCAACTTGATTAGCGTGAAAGACGGCCGCAAAGCAATCGATTGTGGACTTGACGACTTGATGAACGTTGGACTTGAAGCCGGTGATGATTTCCATGGTGAAATTGACGCAAATGAGGAGCTAGGCGGACAACAACGCTATTGATTTTGTGGCTTTTTATTTGCCAAAAATAAAAATAAAAAACAAAACAAGAAAAAACACAAAGACTTGAGCAAAAAAAACTAAGAAAACAGCAAATCGGGCATGAGACAGACCTAAGAGACAGAAAGTCAGCAATAAATTTTGTGGCAGCAAACAAAAAATAATAAAAGCAACGTAAAACATTTCTTTGACTGCTATTTATTTCCCATCAAATGAATATTTTTTCTTCTTTTTATTCGCAGTCAAAGTGCAATTTTCAACAAGGAGTTTCACCTTTTTTTTTGCCTTTTGCAGAACTTGACCCTTAAACTTGCGCCGCGGAGTAGCCACATAAGAAAAAACATAGTTTAAGCTAAATCGGAAAAATTAATATTGTTATTGCATCGCTTTGTGTGAAAAAAGCAAAGTCATGATGAAATTTGATTGATCTCGTCAAAAGAGATGCGAACGGCGATTTAAAAGGCCAAAACACAAAGAGGATAGAAAGTGGCAACCAATGAAATCCAAATCAAGCAATAAGCGAACAACTTGTTGATGAGAGAGTAATAAATTAAAAAGATTAATTATTATTTTTCCACGAATCATGAGATGATTTATTTAAAATGTTGGCTTAGACTCTTTATGTAATAATAAGGATCTCAGTTTCCCTTTTTTTAGTGTGTGAGAGAGTGATTTAATATTTTAGCATGATTTTACTGATTGTAGAAGACTTGTCACTATTTCCTCAAATATGTACCTTATGAACAACTAGTACATGTAAATTGTATAAAATTGCATTTGCTAATAGGATATGTAATGATATAATAGCGTATTTCGAAATTATTTCCCAACACATTTTTGCAATAGAATTGTCACACTTATGCAACATTTCCGGTGTCATATAATTTAATTGACTTTAGACGAACAACATTTTCATTGATAGTAATTTGTATGATTTGGAAACAACTTTTTTCGAATGCACATAGAAAACTGCAATAAATTATCTAAATTTCTGGATTAGTTTTGCTTTTCTAATGAGCCTGATTTCGCATTGCATTGCATCAAATAATTGAAGTGCAGACAAAACGAAATCAATGCTCAACCAAATCGAGCAACAACTGTAAAATTTGGGGGCACCACAAAAAAAAAAGAGGCAAGTGGCAAGTGGCAGAAACGTGACTACCAAAATCCTACGCCGAAAACTGAAACCGAAAACTTAGTTTGGGCGCAAAGACCAGGCCCACTTAGAGAGCGACAGGTGGTCAGATAAGTTTGCATTGGCTGGAAATGATCGCTGTGGATCGACTGCGGCTGTTTGAGGATTAACTGTGGCGCATTGGCGTACCGCTTGTTGATGCAACAATTAGGCTAAACTTTCAGCAAGCGTCCAAATAAGCATTGCAAGGCAATTTGCAATACAAAAACGTTTCCGAGCCACATTCAAAAGCCAGGGTCAGAAATCAATCGTCAAGCTGTTGAAAATCGCAAATTGTGTAAAGGCAACGCAGCATTCAACATAGTTGCATGCTGAATGCTTTAAGCTAACCCCGCAACCTCCATTTGCTGACTGGCAAATCTCTGTGGCAGGTTACGTACTATAATGCGTTATGATTTGCCGTCTTTACAAATGCCGGAAAGATGAACATGCCTAGATAAGATAGCTTAGCCATCGCTATTGCCAGATTGTACGAGTACGAGTACGAGTTCGAGTACTCATACGGGTACTCATTTAATTTTTTTGGGGGGTTTCAGCAATCAACGTGTTGCCAAAACTGAAGCGCTGTTCAGTTTGTACATACAAATCATATGTGAACATTGCGAAGCAGAAAAGTGAATAGACAACTTAATGAACAGACGAATCTTAAATAAATTTGCTTCCCTTGGAATAAATATTTTAAAACTATTTATTTCTTTTAATTCAAACTGATTGTGTTATCATTTTCATTGATACAGTCACGTAAGCCCACATTTACGCCCTAGAAAGAAGTAATGATTTCTTTCCATATTTTGTTTAGTTGCTCTCTCACATCTTTATCGCATCATATCTGCCCACTTTCTTCTTAATCTTTTTTATATAGAATTAAGAAGGGAATATTATACTTATATATATATATATTATACTTACTGACTTAATCGTTGCAGTGATTGTAATTCATTGCATCAAGCAATAATTATATTTGCAAGCAACATTTCCTTTTATGATCTAAAATATTCCAAGACTATTATAATGTCCGCTCTGTTTATGGTTGCTCAAGTTTGTGTATTAAGGTATTGCCATTAACTCAAATGAGGCTTGAACTGTGCACTCTTCCATGCTAAATCACAAATATGATATAAGGCGTCTTGTGCTTAGTTTTGCTCAGCCAAGTTAATTAGGCCATCAAAATAAATGCCTCAATTACATGCCCAAAAGCTAATTAGCATAATTGTAAGACTGATGGATGTAAGTAATCTATCCCTCCCTCCACAACTAAACCCAACTCTTTGTACGTCTGCCCATTCACAGAGACATCTCAATACGCTGCCATGGGCGTTGCTGCTGGCGCTATTGCTGACGGCGTTATTGCTCCAATTGACAACTGTTAATGCCGAGGATGAGGCGGAGGCAGTGGAGAATGTCAGTACTGAGAGCAATGAGATTATTCCACGTGAGGCCATACAAAAGCTGGACTATTCGGTTCGACAGGCACTTCTCCGTGCAATAGATAAACTGGAGCGGGAGGAGGCAACAGCCTCAAGCATTTCCGATAATGAGGAAGAACCGACCACGGCGCTCCCATCGAAACGAAATGAGGCCACCACAGTGCCAGCACCACGGGAGCGTGAGGAGATACTTGAGGAGAGCACGAGCTCGTCGGATGCTGTAGTTGTGCCCACTGTTCAATTCTATACGGCCACCTTTGACGAACGCAATGCCCAGGAGCAGTTGCTCTCCTCCTTCATCGATCGCTCCCAGCTGTGGAAGAAGACAACGCTGCTTCCCGAAAAGACACCACTGGATCTGGAAGTAGATGCGGATGTGGGTCCAGATACACATCAGCTCACTAGAAGTGTGGACAGCTCTGTGGGCAGCAATGAGATCGCACACGATGGCAGCCATGAGATCAAATTCGAGATACGCAACGTGAAGAAAGGCACAACCACAACAGCAGCAACAAGCACAACGCCTAGAACAACAACGACGACAACAACAACGCCAAAGCCACGCACCACCAGGCGTCGCATCCCCCGTACTACAACGACGACAACGACAACAACGCCACGACCCACCCACAATGAGGATGGGGAGAATATTGAGCTGGTGGACAAGCAGGACATACGCATACAGGAGGCACCGTTAGTAACAGCATTTACCGTTGACTTGGATGAACGTGGCACAGCGCAAAAGTTTCGCCCATTGCTGCAGGGACAGCAGCAGCAGCAGCAGCCGGGTTTCACCCACCAGTCACAACAGTTGCCACTGGGACCCACCATCACCAAGTTGAGTGTGCTCGAGTCGGAGTTGTCTGCAGCAGCAGCACCACTGACCACACAGAGTCCCACCAGCACCAGCACAACCCAGTCGAACTTCAACCAGTTGGGTTTGCCCACAACGCCAGCTTTCCAAAGCAGCAGCAGTTCGAACAACAACTACGTGAAGGTAAGTTTAAAATAGCAGAAATCACTGAACATTTAAAAAAGTACAACAAATTGAAAATCAAAATCAAAGTTATGCAATCAAAGTTTTAATTTTGCGAAAGTCTTTTGTATGGCACAATGATATAAAGCTCTTGTTTTAAAAATGTTCGAAATTAATCTTATTATTTGGACTAGGAGCCACTGGCCAGCTCTAGTGTGGCACCACCCATCATCAACAACTACATCATTGAGCGGCAGCGGGCACTGGAGCAACAAATCTATCAGCTCAAGTTGCAGGCACAGCAGCAACAGGCGTTAATATTGCGACAGTTGAGGCTGCTGGAGGAGCAGAGTCAAAGTCGCTACCAGGCGAACACATTGCAGCCACTGCAACAGCAGCTGCAGTCACAGCAGCAACAGCAGCAATTGCAACAGCAACAACAGCAACTGCAGCAACAACATGCATCACTGGAGGCAATACAAACGCTGCAGCCACCTTCGCCTGGTTACTCCATCAGACCTTCGGTTGAATTTATACCCAGTTCACATACAAAGACCATTATCTATCCCACATATCCAATTGAGCAGCAATTGCCGCTGCGCGATTCCGTTGCGGCTCATAAATTTGCCCTGCACAGCAGCAGCAGCAGCAGCAATAACAATAACAATAACAACAACAATAACTATCCGAAATTTCCAACAGCAACGAGTGCGGTACAACAAATTTTCCAAAATTTGCAACAAAATCTGCAAAAAACAGCGGAAAATGCTGTCAGCAATAACCAAAACCCCAATAGCATTGCCAGCAGCAGCAGCAGTAGCAGCAACATCAACAGTAATCAAAACAACATCAATAACAACAATCATTTACAGCTACAAGCCTCAAATCAGTTCAACTTTGCGGCCGCGGAGGCGTCTCTGTTGCAAGCACCGCCCCAGAATAATTATCAACAGTTTCAGCAATCACAGCAACAGCAGCAACAACAATTGTTGCTTCCTAGCTATGTAAGCAATGCGCTCTATCAGCAACAACAGCAACAGCAGCAACAGCAACAGCAGCAACAGCAGCAGCAGCAACAGCAGCAGCAGCAACAGCAGCAGCAACATCGTGCTCGGCTGTTTCGCCAGGAATCGGGCGTGGGTAATTTTGGCCTGAATAATAATGACAATGTGGAGATACAGCCGAGCAGTTCCTTTGCCACGACCATTGTTAGCCAGCACAATAATCTGGATAATCAAAATTTCTATCGTCAGCACTTGACGCCGCACCTGAGCAGCCAGTTGCAGCAAAATGCTGAGCAATATCTGCAGCAACAGCAGCAGCAGCAGCAACAGCAGCAACAGCAGCAGCAACTGCTGCAGCAGACAAAATCAGCGACAGGAGGAGGACATCAGGCATCATCAGCGGCATCCAGCTCAGGTAATCCAAATGATAGATTTAATAGAAAATACTTAAGTCAGTTTAGCAATTTAAGAAATTTTGAAGAATTGAAAGTAATTAGTAAAGTTTTAGCTCTCAACCATGGCATACCGCAATTTGCATCACAAAACCTGCACTTCAATGGCGCCTTTTGAGCACCTACTGAGGCCAAACTGCACCAGCACCAGCACAAACTGTGTACCAACCAACCAACCAACCAGCCAATCAATCTCACTCCTACAAATCGCACATCCAAAATTACCCGCAGCACACACCAGCACCACCAATCCATCAAACCAATCCATTGTAATGATGACTGACGTTATTCCATACTTACCCCCATTTAATTAAGCTCCTCTTCTTGCAACATCTTTGTAAATACGCACTCTAAAGCATAAGCATTACTATAATAATGAATACGCTACGAGGACTACCGAAGCAGTGGGAGAATCTGAGCAGGTTGTGCCGTGCCGATTTTAATGCTCTGCTTGGCGGAAAAACAACAAAAAATGCAAAAGCAAAAACTAAATATCGAAATGTAATAATTATTTATTTTTATGTGAATAAAGTTTATGATAAAGTACAACAAAACATACACAAACTGATGTTAAAATATACAGTTTTCCAATAATTAAACTTGAAGTCTTTTTTTGGGTGCATGATTTAAGCAATTTTTCAAGGGATCGTTAGACATTTAAGAGATGCAAAGTAATTTCCATGATTTTTAATGAAAAGAAAATTAACGGTTGTCGGGATAAGAAGAAAAATTTAAATATATATTCTAGTTATTGGTCTGTATAAATTGTCAATTCCAGAATGATTCCTGTTGCTGAAATATTGTTGCATACTTTTGTGCTGCTTGCTTTAATGGAAGCTGTTGTGTTTGTAACCAGATGGCGAGTGTCCTCACTTAATCGCGGCAGCAAAAACATTGCCTTCTTTTAGGCAATAGATTTAATTATAGAAGTTGTATTATTGTCTAAGCGAAAACTGGGCCCTTTGTTTTTGAATTTTTAAGAAATACGCATTTTGGTACCCACAACAACAAATTTTCTGTAAGAAAGGGATAGAGGCTAAAAATATGACAACATTGGTTGTATCCCGGTTATTTGCAGAACTATCCTGATGTCTTTTGAACCCTTGTCCCTTGATGGTCCTTGTCCAACCAAATCGGAATATGTTCCAACGGTACATTTCCGTAAACCAAAAATTAGTTATTACTCGGATGACTCGCAATAATGAAAGCCATCTGGTGAATGTACATCGAAATCGCTCCACTAGTTTTCTAATTATCCTGAATTTTGTGTTTTTGACAATTTTTGTCATTTTTGTCAAAAAAAATTGTGGTTGCATAATGATTTAAAAATTTTTGCACGCAAATGAATGGTATTGGTTCCTGTGAATATAAATCAGATAGTTCTTGAAATATCTGCGCCGATTTGGATGAGTAAGTAATGTTTTCGAAAATATCCATTAAGTTTATATTTTTCAATCCATCCAATAAAAGATCATTGTATTCAGTTATGTCAGTAGAATTTTTTTTTTGTTTATTGCACAATTACAATATACATGTTCTCATTCATATAATTTATTACAGCTAAATTACGACCGTAAATATATATATATGTGGGGCTCGCTTTCCGTTATTACTATTACTGAGTTGTTGGGGCGGGGAGGGTCGGGGCGCGATTAGTGTTAACAAAACAACAGCGATTGCTTACAAAGAGCTGAGAAAGCAGAAACTAAAACTAAGCTTAAATTATAACTTAATGGTTTAGTTTTTTTTCCATTTGTTTCGTTTTGATTTCTTCAAATTCATAGCTCCAGGGCAATAGCTTAACAATTTCAACAGGCTCGCTCAATAAAACATAACAAAGTATTGTTATTCAGTTTCTTTTTTCTTTTTTTTTCATCTTCATAGTTTTCTTTCTCTTTTGTTTTCTGTTATGGAGCGTTCTTAGATAGACCATATGGACGATATGCGGCACATGGCGTTTAACTAATATGGTACATGGACTTTTTTTGTTTTTTTTTTTTAATAGGTTTTTTTATAAAAAAAAGTAGAATTCGTTTTGAGCTTAACAAAAACGCAAGCTAATTAAACTAAACTGAACAGATTGATTGGAGTCATCTGCAATCATCTCTATTCATATATATTTAATGTATGTATATAATAAATATTTTCCATTTCGGTTTTTTTTTTGTATGTTTTGTTGGTGTTGGTGTGTTTTCACTAAACTAATGTAAAATGTATCACTAGTTGCTATACGTATTTATGTATATATATAAAAAATATTCCTCTACATTCGTATAATTTGCTCAAGTCTTAAGAATACAGTTGGTTTTCAATATGAATTTGACAGTTTCGAAACGCGCAATGTGCGCGTTTATTTTTTGGGGGGTGGGGGTGTTTTTTTTTTGGGTAATTTCAGGGAATTCTTTGCTCTTTTCATACAGGGTTGTTTGTGGAGCTGTGTTGGGGCTGAGTGTGTAAAGGGGGGCTTGTGTGGGTCAATTAGTACAAACTGACTAAGGGTCTATGCTATTACTGTATACGCCTAATTAGTTCTATGCAATTACAAATAATTATATCATTTCTTGCATGTTGCATGTTTCATGTTGCTGCTGTTGTTGTATTTGTTGTTTTTGCTGTTGTTGCTGTTTTTGTTGGCTGCTCCAACTCTTTCTATAAGGCACAAATATTTGTTACATCAGTTTCATCTAGTTTCTCTTCATCTTCCTCATCTTTTATACACATAAATACTTTCTGCTTAATGCAAATAAATACCGAAAATATAATTACAAAAATGTACAACATAGGTGGTGGGTAGAGGGGGAGTGGTGGTGTTGGTGTTGACTACACCTCGACGCCATAGTTGCGATCGACTACGTAGTCGTAGCGTGGCTGCTCCGACTTCTCCTCACTGGTCTCATTACACTGTGCAACAGGGACGACGGGCGTGGCAGGCAGCTTATTAGCTTGTGCTCGATGATGATGCTCACTGAGATTCTTATTCCTATTGCTGCTTGCGACCAGAGCCGAATTAATGACAATTTTCTCCTCCACTTCATCTTCCTCCGCCTCCTCCTCCTCTTCCTCCTCTTCGATGGCATTAGCATCGGGCAGCATAAAGTCGCTGGGCAGCTCGGGCACAGGCATTCCTTTGCGCGTAAAGAACGTGATCTTCTCTCTGCAATGCGAGCAAGGAAAGATTAGGAATTGTATGAGAAATGTGGAGATTATGGCACTCACTTGAATGAAACCAGATCTGGGCAGCCTTTGGGGACCTTGGTTTTGCGCAGCTTGTGTATTTCTTTGGTGGTCTTCATGAGCAGCTTGTGCAGCAGCCGCTCCTCGGGACACTTGGTGGGATCGGCACGTGCCACCAGACGCTGGAATTCCTCGTTCTCAATGGCCCAGGCCGCAATTAGCGGATCCTTGTTATCGCAGGCCTTCTGAAGTCTATAAAATGCATAAATAAAAAATTAATATGAGTATCTGTGGAATGGAGATGGAGATTAGTCTCAGTCAACTTACACTTCCTTAAGGTTCTGCAGCTTGGAGATTTGATCGTTGAGAAAGAAGAGCTTGCTGTGCTGCGCCTGCAGATCCAGCTCCAGGTCCAAGCTAGTGCGTGGTATGTGAGTATGATGCAGCTCTGCAAATGATTCAATTATAACTCAAGTTAAATACAAATTTAATTGGCAAGTGAGGCAATTGAACCTACTTGATGACTTGGTCGCCTTGGGATGGAGGCGCAGCGAGCGACGCTCCACGGCACCGCGATGGAAACTGTGAGGTGCCACGCCAAAGTGCATCGCCGAATCCGAATCGCTGCGATTAAGACGGCAATTGTAACGGTTCTTGCTAACCGCCGCCGATGGTGTAAAAGTCTGCGATCGCTTTACGGGCCTGTCGTCCAACAGCTGGGACTGGCTGCGCAGCTTCTCCGGCGGAAAGGCGCAATCGGTGTTGGTTTCCTTATCGGCATACTCCTGCTTCATATTCTCCAAATAGGCCAGGTCCAGCATGCAACCAGCTGTGCAAAGAGTATAATTAGTTATGGAATTCAAGTGTTTGTCAAATTAATCGCGACTCACTGTGCGTTAGACCAATTGTGCCGACCAGTTGCTGCTCGTCTTCCTCCTCCTCCTCCTCCTCGTCATCGTCATCGTCATCATCGTCGTCGTCGCTGCAATGCGGCTCACTAACGCCGCCAACATGCTCGGGCAGCTCCTCGGCTATTTGCTCCTGCAGCTCCAATGGAGGCGCCTGATTGCGCGTCAGCGTCGATGTTTGCGACGATGTAATCGTTGACTCATCCGAGGATTCTTCTCGGTTGTTGTTGTTGTTGCTGCTGCTGGCGGCGACAGCGGCTGCTGCAGCTGCCGCACTTGTGGAGGGCAAATCGAGTGACTCGAAGCTGGGCATAAACTTGGAGCTGACCACATTGTACCACTTGAGCGTGGAGTCCTCTGGATTGAATTCGGCCATGCTGATTTGCACAGTGCCCTAAAAATTTAAAAGACAATTGTAGCTCATGCTTTTTATGCGAATTCCAATCGAGAAGGGATCGTAATTCAAACCGTTTAAAGACTTACAATAATCTCCTCCTTTTGTCCGGTCATGCTGACGACGGTCACCTGCAGGCTCTTGGTGAGCAGCTTATCCAGCGAAATGGGCACCGCAAAAGTGTCATTGAAGACGGGCTTCTGGAAATCACCCAGCGCCTTGGTGCGTATGGAGGTCAACGAATTGGGCAGCAAGGCGGCACGCAAATAGCTGCAAGCAAAAAAAAATTAAAATTTTAAATAAGCAACAGCAATGTTGATCAAATCAAATTAGACTTACACTTGCGAGTTATCCGTGGAGGCTGTCCAGAGTGCGGATAGATTATTGGCACGCTCCAGGGAGACGACGAGCACGCCCTCCTGCTTCAGATACTTCAGGCCGATCTGCACCTGGGCCAATTCCTTGCGTGGCAAATGGGCACGCGATGCCTCAAAGACGCCAGAGTCACCGGCCACAGACTCATTGCTGACGGCTGCGGACACGGAGCGTGTATTCGAGGTGGAGGAGGAGCGCGACAGCATCTCTTGCGGCAGGTCGAGCAGAGATGGCTTCTCCGAAATGGGTGACAACGGCCCATTTAGATTGAGCGGTGAGCCAAGGTTCAGTTTCTGCAGCTTCGCCTCAAGCATCATACAATCCAAGACTGTAGAGTCCAGATCATACGGATGCGGACGCACGCCCAGCGGTGCAGCTGGTGGTGCTGTGTAGGCGGGCGGCGCTGGGATCGTCGCTAGCGGCGCATTGGCATAGGTGGGTTCCTCCTTTAACGCCGCTGGGGCACCTGTTGCTGGCTGCTGTGCCTGCTGTTGATCGGCATTGGCATTGTATTTCAGGGGAGAGGCGGGCGGCGTTTCCATCGACAGACTGCTGCGCGGCGACAACGATACCTCCGATACAGGTGGCTGCTGCTGTTGTTGCTGTTGCAGGGCTGGATGTGGAGGTGGCAGACGCTGCGGCTGCTGCTGGAATAGTCGATGCGAGTGTCGCTTCAAATCGACGACATCGATGTGCGCATCGACGGCAAAGGGATCAATGTAAATGTCCGTAAAACTGAGCGCACTCTTGCTGCTCGCGGTGGACAGGGAGCCGAGACTGCTGCCGCTGCTTATTGAGAACGTGCTCTCCGACGAGAATGACTTCAGGCGCTCCTCGAGCAAATTGGTTGACTTCAGCGCCTCCTGCAGTTTGTCCAGCAGCAGTTGTTTCTCCTCGTGGAAACGCAATCGATTCGCAATGCAAGTGTTCGTTGCCTCATACGCCTCATTGAGGTCCTCCTCGAGTTTCTGGCGCGTCTGTTGTATGACCTTCTTCTCTTCGGCTGTGCGGGACTTTAGGGATATGCTGTTCAGATCGTTGAGCAGCTTCTCCTTCTCTTGGATGAGCAGAATTCGATCCTTGTCCGATTCCAGCTGGCCGGGCTCAATGCGTTCCACATGATCGGCGAGCTGTTGTTGCAGCTTCTTGATGTGCTTGCGCCACTCCGCATACTGTAGCTTCGTCTTGGCCATTTCGGCGAAACGTGCCCCACTATTCAAATGCTCCCCGGCACCGCCGCACAGATCTGTCTGGCTGGCAACGCAAACCCGGTCGAAGGGCGAGGAAGCATTTAATAGATCGGCATTCTCTTCGCTGATCTGCTGGCGACTCAGTTCGTTCTTGATTTGGACGAGGCTGCGCATCAGCTCTTCGCGCACCTTCTCGCCGGAGACGAGCGATTTGTGCACCTTAAGCATCTCCTCGCGTATCGCCTGCACCTCGGCAATATCATAGCAGCCATTTTGGCGCGCATTGATCTTCTCACCCACCGAATACAGGGTGTTCATGCCCCGCTGCGTGTAGGTTATATCGTTGGTAATGTGATTCAGCTCCTGCTTCAATTGACGCACACGCTCACGCGCTGTCATCAGATCGGCACGCAACAGATCTGGATCGTGTCGACTCATCGAACTGGACGACGAGCATACTGCAAAGAGAGCGGAGAGAGAACGGGTAAGTATTGGTTATCTGTAAGTTTAACTACTGGAATAGTTTTTTAAAATTTCTGAAGCTGACTAACTGATTCTGTCAGCGTCTAAAATAGTCTTTATGAAAGGAGTTGGCCGCTTTATTCCTTTAATCTGAATCTTATAGCAATAAATTGACAAGAGAATTGTGTATATTCCTGCCTCTGATCTATATAAAACAATAAGAATTGGCGCGCATGTTTGTTATGGCTGTCTGCTCTATCCGACTGACCAGTGCTCGGTTATCATGGAGCAATATAATTGTGAAATCGCTTATCGTTTGTTGTTCGACAGAAATCGCCTAGTCGCGTGATGTTTTTTGGGTTGATTGAGTTGAACTTACAGCTGCTGCGACTGGCGGCCAATTTGTTCAGATGATGATTGTATTCTTCTTGGGCGAGATGGAGACGCTGCTGTTTCACATCGTACATCTCGCGCTTGTTCTCCAACTGATCCTGGGCAGCGGACAGGTAATCGCTAAGCATTTGCTCCTGGACACTCTTCCACTCCTGGCGCGGATCCTCGAGCTGTGTGCTCTGCGCAATGTGATTGATGTAGTAGCGACCGATATTCGAGTCATACGCCTCCTCCCATCCCACGGGCAGCTCATCGCCCACACAATCCTCGAAAGAATGCGGTTTTGTGTAGCTGCAATTGACAAAGAAAGAAGAAACCAAATTAGACATAAATGGATGCAGGTTAGAATTCGTGTTTGATCTTGTTTAGTCGGGTATTTAGCTTATCAGCTTGTTTGCATAGAGACAACAAAATCGCTAATGAATTTCCGTCCAGCAGATAAATATAAATATACATATATATATATATATATATATATATACGAGTATATATATTTTTTTTCTGTTTTCTAGTTTTGGGCCCTATCTAAGATGTATCGTAACCTGTTTACCGTCTGTGGCCAAGTGTTCCCACGCCAGCTAATTGGAAGCGTTTCTCCGGGCCCATTCGATAAGATTAGCGACAGAGCTTTGTCTGGTATTTCCTGTGTGCATTTTTTTTTTTCAACTTTTTTTGGTAAAAGTCGGCAAAAAAAAAACACAACACACATATTTCTTTGACTCTCAAATATTTACCATGCAGCATTAGCACTTGCCTAATGGAATGTTGTCTCCTCTCCTGGTGTCTTGTTGTTGCCACACAAAAAGTATACCCCATTCCCCCCACCCCACCCGATACCAAATGCTATTTGCCATATGTCTAATCTTATCGAGGTCGCAATTTTCCCGCTGCGGCAAAAGAGCTAATGACAATGACGTTGTCGTCGTCGTTGTTGTCATTGTTGTTGTCGACAACATTGTCGTCGCTGCGGCTGAGCTTTTTATATACTCTATTTCCCAGGGTAAAAAGGAGTTTATTGAGTTTTTTGCAATTCCGTTTCGCTGCTGCTGAGATTATTCTATACTCCATACCGAGGGAGGAAATTAGTGTATTTAGTTTTCAGTTGTTTCCTTTCGATGATAATGTATGTGCACTTAGAGAAAAATGCTTTCAAGTACAAGTTGATCTTGAATATTCTGAGATGAATACACACTAAGCTTGATTTTCAAAGACAACCGTTAATAGTTACTAAGTATTTATGTACTTAATAATAAATAATAATAATAAATTAATACTTTAATGTTATCTATTTTAAAGCAATATATATTATACTTAATTTTTAAAATTAACCGAATTTTTTACTAATTTATTTATTACATTTCTGTAATATTATTTTGAAAAACCCCAATAAATTTATTCCCACACAGGCACTTTCTTACTGTTATTTTTTTTTTTTGGAAACAGAGTATCACATAGTTGAGTTTCTTAAGAATTTCACTCGTAACTCCTTTATTTTGTGCAGATATTTGTTTGCGAAATTCAATTTCAATATCAGCGTAGACAACAACATTTTCGCATTCCAATGATAATTACTAATCTTCATAAATTAATTGGTCGAATAGGTACACACACTTGTGCACTCACACTGATAATGTGTGTATGTGTGTGTGTGCTCTTCAATTGAAATATGTATATGTATTGTGGTTGTTGTTGTTTTCCTTTAAGGCTGGCATATTTATATGATTTGTTAATTAATCATTGCTGTGGAATTCGCGCAACCATTAAAAAAGAGCAGCGCAAAAGGCGGCCCGACACGATAATAAAATGTGCGCCATATGCGCCAGATATAAACATCAATATAGTATATATATATATATATTTATATATATATATATATATTTATATATATATGTGGCGTGTCTCAACTGCCCGACAGTTGCGCATTCAATATGAATTTTCCAAGAATAAACTTGTTGCGGCAGCAGTTGCTGCGAAAGCCAAAAGATATCATCACTTCCAAGCGTATCTTTCAGTTTACACAAGTATTTAATCGTTTTAATTAGTACATTTAGCAAGAATATTGTCTAACGCCAACGGTAGTTTATAAAGATCTATATGTATTTAAGCATATTTGTAACACATAAAGAAAGATATTTTGACGCTGATTCAACAACAGATCAAATATCGAGCGCTTGCTGCACGAATCGAAACAATTCCTATTGCCTAAACTGGATATTAAAAAGAATAAGCTGAGCGTCAGTTCTTAAATAATTTAATGACTAAGCTAATTCCAGTTGTGTTTATTGTCTAATTTATGATCAGCTGATCATTAATAGCTACTTATGACGTAGCCAAGAGGGGACGACGTGCACTTGGTCAGGGACCCAAAACCCAAAACAAACCAAATGATTGTGAGACGTTGTTTCTAGCGATAAGCAATCATTAAAATTGCATGTGCTTTAACTAATGTAGGATTTAGCGTATATATATATGTACATATATGTGTATACATATATACAAAGCACAGTGCATACAAATGGTGTATCACATAAAAAGTGCTTTGTTACAATAAAAAATAAATTCAGCCAGTTGTGGGGAAAATGGCACAAGGAATTATCAGTTTATATAGAAAGAAAAGAAAACAAAAAACAGTGCAAAAAGTGCAGCCGTAAATAAATAAACATAAATGATACACACAAAATGTAGCAAAAGACATGTCCCAATCTCCGAGCACAGTCCAAGTCTGACAAACTGACACACAAACAGAGCAAATTGACCAGCGGACAGAACATGACAAGAACGTTGACAACAAAGCAAAAATACAGTGTCACAGAGAAAGAGAGAGAGAGAGAACAGAGGTGGAGCGGGGGGTATTCATAATATGAAATCGACGAGCTTTGTATTTATTTATTTCATTGGCTTTTCAACGTTAGGCAACAACACCCAGTTGATATATCTGCATTGAATTACGAATGCGGCATTTGTTTATTTGCATGCGAACCTACCGTGTAAATAAACATAACGACGATCGACCAACTGAGACATCAACATGTTTATACCCTTCTAGAGGGTGTTATCGTTTTGTGATGAAATTTTTAACGCCGATCCCGTGAAGTATTTATATTCTTTATTTTTTACTTATATAAGCAAAGTCGCCCCCGTCTTAAAGCTATAAGCCGATTACTAAAGAATCAATTATTAAAAGCAAATACATTGATACATCATCATAAATTTGTTCAATTATTCACATTCACATAATTCATCAACCACTGCAACTTTATCTAAATCGAGCAATCCACAACTGCAAACTTAGTTCGAATCAGCATCAAACTAAATTTAAATCTTACACAATTTTCTACGTTCATTAGCCAACTCTATTATTCTGACTCTAGTTTTCTGCTTTTCTTTAACATATGTGAAATTTAATCAAGTTTCTGTACAAAAATATCAATTGAAGCGCACGTTTACACAGGTGTCAAAAGCGTGTGGCAATCGCAGCTGGCTATAAAATAAAAATAGCGTAAAAAAGAGCAACAAGAATATAAAACGTTTCCTTTAATCAGCTGAAATGGGAAAAGCGCAATGCAATGCAAATTTTTATGGTTTTCCATTAGCGCTTGTTGAATTTGACTCATTTTGACCTCAAGCACGAGAGACGAACAAAATCAAAAATCAATGAAGAGTCTGTCTGTCCCTCTGTCTGTCTGGCGGTCTGGCCAGAGTGGGTGTACAAAAGGGGCGTACACAGGCGTGGCAACGGCAAAAGTAATAGGGCTTCCTTCTGCAATGAAGCGGCAGCAAAGGCAGAGGCAACAACTAACGAGCGAATCGTTGGCGTTGTTGGCCTTTTAGCCTGTTATGCTTGTTGTTAGCTTAACTAACTGGCTAACTGGTCAACTGGCTAAATGGCTAACTGGCTAAATGGCTAAATGGCCGCACAGCCCACATAAAATGTGGCGTTTGTGGCTGGTTGAAGAAAAACTGCATAAATTAAATAATTGTAAACAAAATATTTATGGCGCTGAGCGTCGCTGTAATAAATTCGCGCTTTAATATAAAATACAAAAAAAATAAATAAAAAAATTTAAGGAAGGCCCGAAAAAAAAACAAAAAAAAAACGAGTTTCGAGTCAACAAAATATTTCAGCATGAATTTTGTTGTCACAATAGCAAACGACAACCAACGACGAAAAACAACTACAGTGATACCTCGGCATGGCTGGCCATTGACAACGATGTCAAAAGTTGTCATTAGGCAGCACTTAAATGAAATGCACACACATATATACATATACAAACATAAATATACTAACGTATCTGCAGATAGATATATATATATATAAGCAGCATAGATACATTTGTATAAACAATATTATTTAACTGTTTACGACGCGTTTTATGCTAATTGGCCCGCTCATAAAAAAACGTATTTCTCCTGGGCATTCTTTGCATATATACGTATATCTATATATATATATATATTTTTTTTTTTTGTATTTGTATTTAAGTGACTTTCGGGTATATTTTTGGACATATGTAAATGTGTTATTCAAGTTGATTGTGGAAGCCTGAGTTACAGCTCTTGGAAACTTTTGTTTTCGACAGCAGCAGCAGCAGCATCAGCCTTGCGACAGAAAACAAATTAAAGACGCGTCAAAGTTCTGTTCTCTTTCATCTGATATTTTAATAGACGATCATTAATTCAGTTAAAGTATTTCGATTCGATGATCGCCCTGGCCCGGTCCGTGCCCGGGCCCGGGCTCGAGCCCGGCTTGGACCAAACATCATTTAGCAATTCAAATTCAATCAAGCATCTCATCAGCGACAGAAACAGTTTAAGCCGGTTTCCAACGAATTCCATAACTCTTGGCCACAGCATAAGCAAAAAGGGGAGGAGTTGAGTATTATCTATAATCTATATGCAGCAGGCAGCATGTTTTCGCTTGGACTTGTGCTTGGCCTTAACCAAATCACGTAGTCACCACTGTCAAGTTCTGCTCTAATTGTTTACTCTATTTCTACGCTTGTTTTGTTTTGAACGGAACTGCGAGATAATAAAGCACACGCTCTTCTACTATATTGTTGTGGTACACACACAAACACTTAGAACACGACACGACAAAAAGACAACAATTTCCGGTTAATATCAAATATAAATATATATGTCGCGATCCAATGGCCCACTTGGCCCCCAGCTCAGCTCAGCTCAAAGATCGCAACAGCAGCAACAACATCAGATTTTTATGCAAAATTCAGATAGAGAGACACACACATCTACATACATAAGCATTAGAGCCAATTTATCTGGCAGTG